GCCGATGATCCATACGTATATATAGTCGCTGCTGCAAGCTCGAGGCCTTTGTGCGTCGTTCGTACACGTGCCAGCCGCGGCGTTGTTAAAGTTATTCGAGAGTGTAGAGAATCCAAAGTACACACACACGCATACATAGGCGGACGAAGGAACGAGAAAGGATTATCGGCATAAACAATTATTAGAATCGAGCGGACACGCGTATATACGTATGTGAGGAATTTCGTTAGTGCGACGCGGGGGCAAGAAGGAGAGCTCTACCGAGTGCTCCGCAGCTCGCTTTGTGCCGAACTCGGCGCGCAGGGAGCTGAGCTTTAACGACGCATATCGGACCTCCAGAATATATACAGATATATAATACCCATGTATTAAAACGCTTTAAAACGAGGAGGAATTGCAGAGAGATATGGACCAGCACTCGTATAAGCTCGCGCGCGCGCGGATAGATAGAGAGCAGTGGCAGCGTTTAAATTCATCTTTCCGCAAACGAATCGCCACAGAGGAGAGAGAGAGAGAGAGAAAGCTCACGAGCTTTATCGATCAATCCCAAATCCGGACGAAGGGGGGCCGCCGCCGATCGATCCCATCCCCCCGCCCGAAGAAGGGAACGATCGTCGTTTCTCTCTTCGCAAGTTGGCGTATTAATTAAAAAGTACTCTCTACGGTGCGGCGTAGCTCGACTCGTGTAAAACTACGCGATAGCGACGCTCGCGTTAAATTCAGAGATTCAGTGCTGCTGCTGATGGTGGTAGTGGTACATACTAGTTGCGTAGCGCTTTGAACCAGTAGCTAGTGGTGTAGCTCTACACGCCTGCGCGTTTTGTGCGCGCTTGTAATAAAGGGCCAGGAAAACACGTATGTAATATAGCCCGAGATCGAGAGCGAGAGAGAGAGAGAGTAAAGCCTCCCGGCAAATTGCATCATCCTGGGGCGCATGTTAAAACTCGGGCAGAATACACACGCATCGAGCTTATATTATAGCGCGCCGCGGATACATTTCAAATGTAAAACTTTGTATATGTTTTGGGCTTATAATATCGGGTGTATAGCCTCATCATATACGTAGATATACGCACTCGTGCGCCTATAAACCCGCTGCAAACCTCGCTATAATATAGCTTGCGAGCTTTGTGATACCGACTATACGAGTACTGCTGTTGCAACACGAAGCTAGCTGCGTATACTCGGCGCGGCGCGCGAGCAATTAAATTTTCGACCTATATATGTAAAGCCCGCGCGCCGCGGTGAAGCTTCATTTACGCGCGCCAAATGTTTAATAATTAAATGTAACTTTATGGTACTTTGACGCGCGACTACACCGCCGCCACCACCGCCGATCCCTGAGCTTGTATACATATATAATAGTACCGTGTAGGTATACGAGCCAGCCTCGCGGTGGTGGCAGCTCGACTGACTGACCTACACACAGGGTGCGCGCGAAAAGAGCAGCAGCCGAAAGAGCTTGTGCGAGCCCCCGAGTAATGTATGTAAATTTTTAAAAGCTCGCCGAGAATGCGAGCTGCTACTGCATATATATACGTGTGTGTGTGTGTATATATAACGCCGTGAAATTCGTACCGTAAAATGACTGACTAACGAGGCGCAACAAAAAACGTGATACATAATATAAATATGTCCTCTCTCGCTCCCTTTTATCATTATTATTATTATTTTTTTTTTTTATCATATCCTCTTTTCGCCGAGCTCTCTCTCTCTCTCTCACTGCTACTGGTTACTCGTGCTACTACCGATGCTCTTTTTCGTGAAATATACCGTTGAGTAAAATAAAAGAGCAGCTGAAAAGAGAGAGAGAGAGAGAGAGAGATCGATAAAAGGCGCGTTCGAGCGACGACGACGACGACGAGCCGCGCAAAAATAATGGAAAAATATAATGCCCAGCTGTGTGGAGCGATATATGTACTCTTTGCCGCTGCTGCTGCTGCTCCTGCCTTTTTTACTGCTACGCTCGATTTAATGGAATTTACGTGTAACGTCTACACACGTACACGGCGGCGGCGGCACAAAGCCTATATATAGAGGGTCAACGTACACCTAAGTACTCGGCCCCCGTGTGCAGCAAAGGAGAGCTGCTACCAAGCCGGTGTATCGACGACGATAAAAAATAAGAAAAAAAAATAAAATAAAAGTCGTCCTCGAGCTTGCGAGAGCTTCGGCAGCTCTTCTTCGTCGTCGTCTATGCCCTTTTCGCGCGCCGAACGTATACGACGTACTGTACTCTCACGTACGCTCGCAAATATATTATGGATAAATTTGCTTTTTATGAATAAAAGGGTAGTCCGATGTGTACACTGTACACGACGACGACGACTACACACGCACGCTCTGTGTATAGGACGACTCGAAATGCATTTGTAACGATGTCTTCGCGCTCCGGGGGTTTAGTACATGTAGTACATCGAGCAAGTAGTAATAGAGTATAGATAGAGAGATAGCTTTCGGACTGTCGCCGAGCGCGCGCCAGTTGAAACTCGTTTGCTGCTGCTGCTGCTGCTGCGGCGGCAGTTGGCTCGTTCTCGCGTATGCCCAACGGGATAAAATCCCGTACGTAATGGATAGATATATTTGCGACTGCGTATATACATATCATATCTCCCGATCGCAGAATCTCGATATTCCTCAAACTCCAAAACTTTCCTCTTCGCGACGACGACGACGGCAATTTCTCCTGCCACCAGAGAGAGATAGAGGCGCCATTAATTTTTTTTTGTTCTTACTTACTTCTAATCTGATTATTGACAATTTCGCGCTGCGAGTCGCGAGATTCTCCCCAGCTCTTATATACACTCTATTATTCGTGAAATATTACGGAGCGTCGAGATCTTTCGCGCACGTCGACGAAAAGAGACTATTAGTCGAACAATTTTCGTCAAAAACGGGAACAAACACACACATTTCGGATGTAATAAAGCCGACTGGCTGGAAAAAAAGTTTTCACGCGCGCGCTCGCTCGAGGCAATAAAACGAGCTTACCAGCTTCGTTCATAAGACGCGAGATGCGCCCCCAAGATGCTCTCTCTCTCTCTACGTAAAAGCTCGAAGAAAGAAAAAACGACGAACTTGGCTTGTTTTTCGGAGTAAAGTGGTAGTAATAAAGCAAAAAGGTACGATGATATAACTACGGAGCTGTGGCACGAAATTATATCGAAGCTCGCATGTATACGTGTCCTCGCGTAACCGATACGCGCGTGATGTGCTCGTGTGCGTTCGCGTCCCAAGTGATCGGGATCAAGCTTTGATCGGGCCAACTCCGCTGCTGCTGCTGCTGCTGCTGCTGCTGGACTGGCTGTGGGCGTCAGCTCTTTATGTAACGATCGTACCTACTAACTGCTGCTGCTGCTAGTAGCTCGATCGCGTTCGAATAAATTAGACACGAGCGTAGGAAGAGAGAGAGAGAGAGAATCTCTTTTATAAATAAAATACGACGTAATGCAGACGTTCTTTTTCTCTCTCTCTCTCGCTCTTGGGCGAAATTTAATATACAACGGAGAGGAGCACGCCGGAGCGTCGGGCGCTGCTGGCTGCATAGCTGCTGCTCTACTCCTAGCTGTAAGCGGATCAAGCGATTAAGAAAGCAGGAACAAAGCTGCTGCTGCTGCTGCTGCCGCCGCTTGTGCTACTCCAATAGCAACGAGTTCAGTAGAAGATTCCCTCCTCTTACAAGAAACACCTTTTACCGTCGGATATCTTGCTCCGACTTTGTCGCTTCTTGGCGGAGTGAGAGAGCTTGTAACAATTCCATTGCTCGATCGACTGCTGCTGTGCTCTTTGCTGAATCGGGCCCCGGGCAGTATATATATATGTGCAGCAAACACACACATGGAGAATTGCCGCACGACGATTTTCATTTCTATATATCGGAGTTTATCCTCGTGGCGCGCCGCAATACGTTGACTGCGAGCTCGAGCGAGTTTCAATATTGCACGCGCCTATATACGTATTATTAATATATATATCTGTGTCGCTGCTGCGAACACAACCCACACGACGACGCCGACGACGACACGATATTTATACATATTTTTATACACACACGCATACACAATCACGAGATATACACGTATGCATATCCGTTTTATATATATAGAGAGAGAAAATAGCTGCTGTCTGTACACACAGTAGCTGCTATAACGTGTATATTTACATGTTTTCAGTGTGTCTGTTGTGTATACGTTGATGCTGCCTCTCTGGCTCAGGCTCGCTCGCTGCCGCTGAGACTGGCTTTTTGTGTGTTTTTAATTAAAATGTAAAATAGTCTTCGTTCGTTCGTTCGTTCGCGCGCGCGCGAGCGTGGGGATGTNGGGGGGGGGGGGGGGGGGGGGGTAGATTGTCGCGAAGGCACAAACTGTGGCAGTACCTCGCGCGTATCCTATAATACGTTCGCATCCTCGAGTCGTCGTCGTAGCTCGCGACAATTATTTTTTCCCCGGCCATCGTGGTATACGATATACGCAAATACACACGACTGAGAAAACAACGAGAACGACGCCGAGCTGCGGTGTGGCAATAATATACAGCCTCGCGCTATAACCAACCGATATAGAGAGAGAGAGAGAGAGAGAGAGATTTGGAATCAATTGTTGGCCGTTTTCCGTGACGATGCGCGCGCTCGAGATAATTATAAATAAAGATACATATACGAGTGCTCCGAGTGGCCTTATATACACTTGCTATATAATAATAATATTCGTACTATACGTAGGTGCGCGCGTACGTGTTTAGAGAGTAATTTTATCAGTGCCTCGGCGCGCTTCATATATTTCGAGTGCAGCAGCAGCAGCGGCTTTGCTTCGGTAAATGCACATCGTGTACACATGTGTGTGTGTATGCATATGTGCGCACCTCGAGAGTTTACGTACGCGTATGTGCATGTATGGGTTTTGGCGAGAGAATCAAGCTGACGCGGCGTGTGGCGCACAGTTCGGGGGGGTCGGGGATGAAGTTGTAGCAGCAGCAACGGGCGGATAATTAGAAGAGGAAATTGTAGCGGTAATTTTCGAGCCTAGTCTTCGTCGTCGTCGTCGAACGACATCCTATATAGTGTAGTATATAGTAGTACTATGTCCTCTTCGTGCATTCGGATTTCGTAGCCAAAGGCGCGCGTGGACAAGGCAAAAACCTTTTTGGCGACGTGGAGAGATAGAGCTTGCGCAAGCAGTACACGACGACTAACACACACACATACACCAAACAGCCAAGGCCTTGACGCGTGCATTTGTCAAAGGTATTAGACGAGATCCGCTTAGGCGTTTAGGCGTCCTTGGCTCTCGCGCGAACATTTTTCAAGTGGTCTAGGGGATGATGATTTTTCAATGTCAGCGCCTCCTCCTCATGCTCACGTGTTGCGTTGTCTTTCTGTTCTCGTTTTCGCAGATGACTCGGCGACTGGCTGGCGGGAGGCGAGGATGAGCTCGAGCGGAGGCGGCGGCGGCAAAGGTGGCAGCGCGACAGCAGCATCAGCAGCTGGAACGGCAGCAACGGCAGTTGCAGTGGCAGTCACGGCATTGGCAGCGGCGGCAGCCGCGGAGGCAGTCGCGGTCGTCTCGTCGATGACGACTAGCACCAATAGCGTCACCACCTTGAGCGGATACGGAGTCGACGGAGATGGTGGAGACGAGAGCAGCTGCCAGGGCGGCGACGTCGACGTCGGCTCGACGCTGCCGCTGTGGGAGGCCGCCCTGGCCACCCTCGTGCTCGGCTTCCTGATCATCGCCACCATTCTCGGCAACATCCTCGTGATACTGTCGGTGTTCACGTATCGGCCGCTGCGCATCGTCCAGAACTTCTTCATCGTGTCGCTGGCCGTCGCCGATCTGGCCGTCGCCCTCCTCGTCATGCCCTTCAACGTGGCCTATCTCATATTCGGCCAGTGGATCTTCGGCATACACATGTGCAAGATGTGGCTGACCTGCGACGTTCTGTGCTGCACCGCCAGCATTCTCAATCTGTGCGCGATCGCCCTCGATCGTTACTGGGCCATCACCGATCCGATCAATTACGCCCAGAAGCGCACGCTGAATCGCGTGCTGGGGACGATAGCGGGGGTCTGGCTGCTGTCGGGCATCATCAGCTCGCCGCCGCTGGCCGGCTGGAACGACTGGCCCGAGCAGCTGGATCCGGGCACCCCGTGCCAGCTGACCCGTCGCAAGGGCTACGTCGTCTACTCGGCCCTGGGCTCGTTCTTCGTGCCACTGCTCATCATGAGCCTGGTGTATCTGGAGATATTCCTGGCGACGAGGCGTCGACTGCGCGAGCGTGCCAAGCAGAGCCGCCTCGGGGTCATGGGCAGCGGCGACAAGTCGGCGGGGGCTCAGGCCCGTCAGAAGGCACCCGTCCCCGCCGCGGCGGGTGGTACGGTCGGAGGTGGCGCCGATCCCGACGACATCGACGAGTCCGTGAGCTCCGAGACGAATCACAACGACGCGAGCTCGCACAGGCAGCTGCAGCACAAGCCGTCGTCGCGGCTCCAGGCCAAGGCCTCGCTGGTCGACGACGACGACGACGATGACGACGACGACGACGACGAGGCCACGACCAACATCGGCACGACGCCGCCCAAAGCCTCGGGTACGTATATCCCGAACACACAAAATCTTTTAAAGGCATATAATATAAAAAATGACGTTGGTCACAGGAGGCAGCAGTTCGGGCTCGGGCGGGCACACTCGGCGGGGCGGTCCCGGCACCGCAGCCACCGGCTCGACCGTCTACCAGTTCATCGAGGAGCGCCAGCGCATCTCGCTGTCGAAGGAGCGCCGGGCGGCGCGCACCCTCGGCGTCATCATGGGCGTGTTCGTCGTCTGCTGGCTGCCCTTCTTCCTCATGTACGTCATTCTGCCGTTCTGCTCGTCGTGCTGCCCGTCGGAGCGCCTCGTCTACTTCATCACCTGGCTCGGCTACATCAACAGCGCCCTCAATCCCCTCATCTACACCATCTTCAATCTGGACTATCGTCGGGCCTTCCGCAGGCTGCTTCACTTGCGTTAAGTAGTAGTGAATATGAACATACATACTTTTCTAATCGCGAGTGAGCCGAAACGAGCTACAATTTTAATACATATAACACACCTGCATAAACACACACACACACACATACGTACGACGATCGAGAGATGCTCTTGTTTTTTATCCTGCGAGGCATTCGTCCAGTAGAGGCAGCAAAAACGCCACCGGTTACCAATTAGAGCCAAGCCCCCCTCATTAAAGATGAGTGAAAATATTTACAATAGCTACTTATAAAGAGGAAAAAAAAACAAAATAGATAGTACAAAGGAAAGCGAGTATTTTAAGATGAAATCAGTAATACGGGAGATCGAGAAATTCCGCTAAAGTTGGAAAAATAACGAGAGAAAAAATGCAAATACCTGAAAAGTAAAGAAATTAAAAATACTTTGATAATTGTAAAAAAATAACAATCAATGAAATATGATAATTGGGCACGATCGGAAAACTCGAACGATTTCAAAGAATCCTCGATTCGAATTGGCTCCCCCGCACGTATAATCAGTCATTAATTTCGAGCGCGAAGACTGCGCAATTTTTTACCACCCGGAGTCTGTCTGTGTGGACAAAGATCGAGAGCTTTGATTGGGGATACTTGCGTTTTATCGCTAATCCGAGTCCACTGTAACGGCAAAAAAGGAACCGAATGGTAATGTCGCTGCGGAGAGCTCAGAGATGTTAACGTCGATGAGAATCGGCGATGGGACTTTTGACTTTTTGGAAATTCTCCACTTTGGACAAGGCAAGTTTTTACGCTCACGGCTGCGGTAAAAAGGTACGTGGAAGAAAAGAAGAGAAAGATTTATCGAACGCACGGTTAGCTATATACAGAGTACGTAGTGTTTTTGAAAAGAAGAGAGCGAAGGAGAAGGAAGGAGTGTGTAGCTGTTGCACGCGGACCTCGATAATTGCCATCACTCGACCTACTTTGCACGATTGCCGAGGCGGTGGCGGCGGCGGCCGTGATCAAGATGAATCCTGAGACAGATATACTGAAAATCGCATACGCAGACACACACATACAACTCAATTATAACAATGTGTCAGAGCCCGGTCCGATACATAATTATTTTCCTCGGGACGTACGTGCAGTTGAGCTGCGAGAGAGGAGCAAAATCGACCAAATCAGCTCTCCCTATCTCACTGCGGGTCGCACGAGTTAATTATGTCGGGCACCAGGACGTAGTGGAAGCTCCAGGATATATACACGTATAGCAACATCGAGGCGTTATACGAATGTCATTGGCTCGATTGCTCGACGTGGATACACTGCAGCAGCGGCAACGAAGAGACGAAAGAGCTGCTGCTAAGGTATATATAGCTGCTGCTGCTGCAGCACCGAATGACAAAGTGATTAATCGCGAGCAGCCAGGCTAGTGGTGTGAGACTTGGCCAAAGTTCACCAAGTGAGAGAGAGACAGATCCCCGCAGCTTACACGCATACCTTGGAATACAACTTTGCTCTCGCGCGCATCGATCTTTGGAGTATATATATAGCTGCGCGCACACACACGTACGTGGGGGATATATGGAGCCGACGATCGCACATCCGTCCGAGCTCCGACGATGCCGGCTTGAAGCGGTGCGGTGCGGCGCGACGCGCGTATGTGCGATATACGAGTCTGGGCAAACAGGAAGCCAACGAGGAGACAATGGGTACCTACTGCTAGGAATGCAGTCGAGCAGCGGCTTCTGCGATGCACAATCGCATAAGATGAAGAAGAAGAAGAAGACGACGAAGACGACGACGTAGATGAGATGAAAAAAGAACGAGTACGCGGCCGTGGGCAGCCAGACCGCATCGAGCTCGACGACTTCTTCTTTTTATTTTTTGTCGGACTCTCGCGGCTTGACTAGTTCAAAGCTCTCTCGGCCTAGCCAGGCGCGCATTGTCGACTCGACTCAACGACGATATCATGCTAATGCGCGACGGAGCTGCTGCTGCTGCTCGTGCTTTTTCTGGGACGACGGAGACGCGATCACACGCCAGCTGCCCCGAGCCGAGTCGAGCCATTGTCGTAGTTGCTCGGAGCATGCAAGTTTCGTCGACGTTGTCCTATGTGCAGCAGCAGCCACAGAGAATAAGAATAACAACTTTGTTGGCCGCAAGCTCGGGCGAGCTCGGAGCAACGTCAGCCGTGTATACGCTGCCCCTATATAGCCCCGTGGACCATTGTGTTGTGTTCCTCTACACGTTATACACACACACACAGTAACTTCTACGCAGCAGAACTGGACGCGTCACCCGGAGCCGGAGATCGTTATTTCGACCAGCTGAGGCAGCTGTGTGCGCGAGACTTCGAGGTATATATAAACGAATAACGACGTTGCAGATCGAGTGCAAGCCGTCGATCGAGCACACGCGTGTAATAAACTTGGACGAATGAGATCGACGTTCGATATGTATACAATAGAGAAACCAATCTAGCTATATATGTACGCTCAAATTCCCATTGCGATCGTACTCGATTTTCGACGTTCACACTCAATTTTTTTTTGAAGGGGGCTACCACCGAGAGAGCGTGTAAATTATTACACGCGGCAAGAGGATGAGAAACTCAAGAGCAAGAGCATACGTTAAATTATATCGACGCGAACGTAGCATCCTCGAGGCGAGGAGTACGACGAAGAGATACAGAACACACATAAATATTATATCGTTATAAGAGAAAAATAAAAACAGGTTGTGCATCGCGAGTATATGGGCGTGTGCGAGGAAAAGAGAGGAAAAAGAAAACTGCGTATAAATAAATAAATTACGAATCGCTCATCGCAAAATGTTACTTAACGGTTGTGAGTAGTTATTACGTATAGATTGTATAATGAAAAATATAGTTATATTATATACACGTGTGTGTGTAATACATATGCCATTAAAAAAAAATTATATGAATATAATTGATAATCACGGAAACCATAGAATCGAAAGAAAAATATATAACGATCCGGCTTCGTGCAAGCTCGCTAATGTAATTTCGTAGGATGGGTGTATTCGCGGAGCTTTGAGAAAAAAAAATTACTCTCTTTTTCTTTTTCTTTTTTTTTGTATAAATGGTATATAAATGGTTAAAAGGGGAAAAAAGAGCTACCGAAATAAATTGATCTCGTACAAAGAAGCGCGCCTCGTTGCAGAGAAATTAATTCGCGATCTCTCTAGATTTCAAAAGGTCATTGGATCTCGCTCTCGAGAGTGCAGCCGGGGCTTCGCGATATACACCCAGCCTACTGTGCACCAAAAGGCCCTTCAAGATCGACGGCGAACTCAAACGAATGAATGAATAATCAGGAGAGGGCGAGAAGCTGCTTGGGGTTGTTGTAATTGGGAACGAATTATACCCAATTACCGATGTTGCGAGTGTACGATTTTCAACACCCTCGTACTATTTGTCTCTGTCGGCACGCACGCCAATAAATGCTGAGTGTGGAGCAGCAGCGCGTCGAACAATTGTAATTCCATTATAAGCAATAACGAACTTTTTTGTACCGACTCTAAGCGATAATAATTACGAAGAACTAAAAAAAAAAAAGATAAAAATAGAAAAAATAGTCGATTAACGCCAACGTGTAACTTGCGCTTCGAACCAACTGCAATTATTCGAGACTGTTTTTCCTCGCTCAAAACCGAGACGACGAAGAGCGAAAGAGAGCCCGAGACGAAAAATAAAAAGTACAAGATGGAATACACACGCGGAGAAAATTTTTCATTTCTGGGATTATAACAATACACCCTTCGCCGTGCTTCGATGGATGCTACCGGATCAAGTTATTTAATTATCATCGTGCCAGCAGAGTGTGCAGCGAAACGCCACGAGCAGAGAAAGACATTGAAACAAAAACAACGGAAGAATTAAGCATTACAGCCACCCGTGTACGCGCGACGTCAAAAGAACAACTGTCACGAGCAACAACAACAAAAAAAATAATGTATTTTAAATATATAGCCAGTTCAACAAAAACATACGGACAGACGAAGATGCGATCGAAAAATGCGAGAGATGAAAAATTATACACAAATATTATATGAAAAAAAAAAAATAACAAACAGAAGGATAAGTAAATTGATTATATGAATATAAATAATATATATATTATATAATATATATTAATCGTTCGACCAGAATAGTCGGAGCACTTTCTTTAATAAGGTTGTGATAAGGTTGTGAAAAACTTTCGTAGCCGTGCTTCGAAAAGTGAACACAAGAATTTTTAAAAAAAATGAATTTAAAATAATTATATAAAATATAATTATAAGATTTAAAACAGAAAAAGAAAACCGACAAAATAACAAATTCACTGAGTGAGCATTTAACTTGTAAGTTGTATTAACAAAACAAATATTTACTGTAAATTATTACGTTATTATTATTATATAAATTATATATAAAAAATATTTGAATATATTGCAGTCCAAAAGCGTTGTGAGAGATTCTGTCCGAGCATATTGAGAAAAACAAATAAGAGTCTAATTCGTTACATAATTATATTATGATGAAACCCTTTACGAGTGAGATAATATAAAAACAGAAAATAAAAGTTATATCGCGTTTACAATGTTACCTATGGTTTATTGCGAGTGAATCGACTCCCGGAGAACAATTTTTTTGATTCGATTCTCGCTCGTCGAGTGCGGATGATCGTATTGAAGGTACAATTATATAAATATATACGTGGGCAGAGACACGACACAAACACACAACACACAGTCACGTTCGTTATATTCTTATGAAAACACAATTGCGAAAAGCTTCGAGCTTAGCGCGAGGCGCGCGAATACAACAGCAGCTGCGAAATATCCTGCGACGCGAGTAGGGCAGTGGTAGTTATACATCACCCGCACAGTAGTACCTCCCTCGGCGCGAGTCGCGCGTTAAGGAGAGAAAAGTAAAAAAAAAGCACAAAAGAAGCGACGTGCGCCTACGAGAGCTCGGCTATACGCGCGGCATTAATTTAAAGACAAAAATGATTTACGCGTTACTCCAGGATTTTTTAAAGTATATATAATAATATGAATTGTACATACGAGATTGTCGAGAAAAAAGAAAGAAAACGTTGAATTTAAAGAGATATATTATAACGATATTAATTTTACGAACGATTCGTTGCAGGGGAGACTCGGGCAGAAATCTCGAAAGCTCGAGATGCGCAGCTCAAAACTATTGATATAGATGTAAATCTTTGGCCAGTACATACATATACATTCAAACACACACGATACACACTTGACGGGGCACAGAAAAAAAGAAACATCGTTAGAGCGTAGTAAGCGACGTACTCGATATAATCCACATTCGCGCGGATGTAAAGGGAAAAATCGTAAAAGTTTCCAAGCTATTTTGCGGTCGAAAAAAAACTTTTGGTCGAGTAGCGGCAGCGGCTGAATTATTAGTTCGTATATGTATACGCGGGGGGGTGTTGGGGGGCGACGGCGATGTCGACGTGAATTTTAATCAACAAAAGCCTCGCGCACATATCCACAGGCTAATAATTCAGCTCTCTCGCGCGAGTTTGGCGCGAATATGACGTACTTATCGGCACTGCGCTTCTTTTTCGAACACGCGCGCGACGTCACGAAGCATATTTTACATTTTTCCGTCCGTCCGCGTCCGCATGAAAATAAAAAAACAAAACGCGGGGCACGCCAACGTCGCTAATATTATCGATATTAATGTATATAGGTGTGCGAGGTACATCGAGTTATACGCACTATATCCGTTCGTGTTCGGGTAACTACAAACGTATACACGGATATCTCTCTTGGAATTAAATGCCGCAGCTATAGCTAGCCCCGTGCGCATCGCCGAGTGCATAACATCGGATATACGAGAGCGAGAGAGAGAGGGATGAAATCCCGCGCGTTGTACACCTCTATAATCTATACCTATGTACATGTATGTAATGCGCGCGAAAATCATGCAGCATAGCCGGGAGAGTTCGTATACGGCGTACAGTAGTATTGTTGACACCTGCAATGGTTTTGCGGCTTTGCCGAACGCGCCGTATAATAGCCTCGGGGTATAACGCAGCAGTCAACGCGCGAGAGAGAAACGGTATATGTACGCAAATTTGTGCAGCAGTGGTACATCGATGATCCCCCAGCGGGACGACGTCGACGACGACGACTAGCTGCGTATCGTTGCGCAATTCGCAATAATAGCGCGTCTTCTCCATGATGCGATAGTACACGGTACACGCGAGACACCCCCCGCGAGGATTTTATATATATATATAAATCCGCGTGAGATTCGCAGCATACGCAGATCGAGCTCCATTTATAATAGCTTATAGCGCCTCGCGCGCGCGAGCTTTGTTTTGTGTTTCATACGCGCGAAAAATCGACGACGATCGACGCGACGCGGCAATAATACGAACGCGCCCCGCTGGTGTAATCCGAGTGCAGGGGCTCTTCATCGATATATCGAGTTATCGGACTCTCTCTCTCGCTCGGCGACTAGCACACCTGTGTATACACTGCGACCCGCGCTCGAGTACCAATACACAACTTAACACACACACACACGAACGAACGAACGAGCTGCGTCTAGATATATTGCATTCCACATCGTACCCCCCACCCAAATAGTAGCCGAGAATGTGTCGATGTAATTTCTTAATATGATCATTCCAACAAAATGAAGAAAGAAAAATAATAAGAAAATAATGCGACAAAACACTCCATTGGTTGTGATTTATACAAGAGTATCGATGATTATAATTATTATATACATATACATATAATTATTATTATATTATATACACGCACACAGTAAAGAAAATTATTATTAATAAAATTATAATACAAACGATATTATATATAATATGAATGTAACTCATCGTATGCAAATGAATGTACAATTATTTACATTGTACACGTACATCTTGCCGTTGTGAATTGTAAGTAATAAGACGAAGAACAAAAATATGTAAGTCGAATTAATCTCTATTGTGCGAACGAGCGAAAGGTTGATGATTATTCTTGTATTAGAAGCTGTCGACACGTGCAGCGATCGACGAATTATATACTGGCAGAGATCGTACGCGCACGCGAACCAACTTAACGAGCCGTACAGTACCTTCTTATAAAACCGCGTCGATAATGCAGCCTTGGCCATGGACGCGCGTTCGATTCCTCGAATAACTGCCAAGAAAAGCTCATGAGCACACACGAACTTTTCGGAATCGACGCGTGTGTCTGAGTATTATAGTATTAAACAATCGATCGATCCTCGGCGAGCGAGTTCTATCTCTCTCTTTTCTACCTCGAGTCTTGCAAAGGAAACTTATCAGTGCCGGGGTTATTTAAAGAACCGTGTAATTACGATATACTCTTGCTGCTGCTGCTGCGATGGCCCTCGGTGCCGCGCGCGCGGGGAAAAGACTCTAATTTTTCCCCGCTGCAAATTTCACTTTCCGCAGCGAATATTCTGTTACGCGCGTTGGCTTTTGCACCTTCGGCTTCGCAGCGCGTCTTTCTTTTACCTTCTTCTCTTCTTTTTTTTTTCGAAAATGCAGCTACACCGTTGTACAGGGAATGAAAATTGAGAAAGTTTTCTAACTTAACGCCTTGACACGCTTGGACCGCTTAGCTGCACTGTTCTCTTCCTTTTTTTTCGTGCCCTTCTTTCTTCTGCTCTTCCTCCATCCTTTTTTTTTTGTTTTTTTTTCATACTCTCTTAACCACGTGAAAATTTGCTTTTTACACTTTTCCAAGAGAAGGAGTGAGAGGGAGAGAGAAGAGAGTATATAAACCGGCTGCGCGGCGCAACGTAGCAGTACTCGCAACGGACCCGGCCAGAGGCTAAAATGAAAATCTCGTCACTTTTAACGGAGGACGCGCTCGCGCTACGCTTGAAAATTTAAATTTTAATTCACTTGTTCGCGCGCTGCTACGAGCGTGTGTACATTCGCGTACGGCACCTAGACGCACACAGAGAGACGACGGACGAAATTGCTCGAGAAAACGACTCGGGCAGTCTATGTAGGTGCGTGTGAATAAAAAAGGAAGAAACGGAAAAAAAATTTGAAACAGATATTTTTGTTCAGTCCGACGCGATAATAGCCAAAGTAATCGTGTCGTTCTGTAATAAATACTAAATAAAATACACGAATCAATATATGCATAGTCCACATATAGTGCGCAGATTATTTGGAGACGAGTCGATCGAGCACGAAATAAAGAAGAATCTCAATCGTTATGTCGCTTAATAATAAATGCGTGTGCGTGTGTGTAATCGTTGTAAACGAATCTTTGTAAATATCATCGAGATTTATTTCAAACGCCCGTATACACAAACGTACGCGTGCAATCTTATGAATAATATTATATATTATGTAATAGGCAAAAAACACATGTGTACATTATGTTTGTTATACGCGTATATAAGGAAAAACCAAATCTTCGTGTGCGTAAACCGAGAATATATTATATATGAATAAAGATTTATTGCGTGAAAGGCGAATGATTGCGAGCGAAAAAACTAGTGTGTCTATTACAAAGATATAAGCGTGTGTGTGCATGAGAGCTTGTTTCAAGCCGCTATTTAAAGGACGAAAATTTCGTATTATTTACATAGGTGCATATTATAATTGTATATGTCTATTAATTAGCGACGAATAACGCGATCGGCGCGAAAAAAAGGCGGGGGTAAAGAATATCCCCGAGATGCCAAGCATCCTCGGGTAAAAAAACTCAGTATTATGTCTCTGTCGAATAATTAAAATGTAAACGATCCCCCGGGGCTTTGTCGGTACTACGTGGAATTTGTCGAAGTCGAATCACTAGACCACTAGTCAACGTACCCCTCGCGATATCCAAGTAATTGTGACGATTAATTGTTGTAATCCGCGTATATACATAAACGTACGCATGCACGTAAGAAAAAAACTTTTTAAAAAAGCGGAGAAGATGAGAGAGAGAGAGAGAGAGAGGCGAAAAGCCGCGCGCACGACTCGGTAAAGCCGACAGCTGAGTGGGATCTAGTCATCTTCTTTTCCTACTGTACGCGGAGCTCGACGGGAGAAAAGTTTTGCTAAATCGCACAGAACAACAACAACAACAAAAACTACGTATATACAAAAAATATAAATAAATGTATGCGCGCGCGTATGTGTGTGCGTTGGCATGCACGTGCTCAGCAGCGCGCGGAGCTGTCCGAGTCTGCCGCCGCTGAATGCATCATGCGTCGAGTAGTGTAATACCTCGAGAGTCAGAATCCGAACGTACATGTAGCGTACGTATTTTTTTTTTTCTTTTCTTTCCATCTCCATCTCTCTCTCTCTCTCGACAAAAGAACGAAGCGGAGCGTATACAACAAACATTTTTCTCCCTCTCCCGCGCCGCTCGAATATATAATTGTGCGAGAAAACTTCTGCGAAAGATGAAAAAAATTCCGGGCGCGGGCGCACTCGTCGTCGCGGCGCGTAGCTGCGGACGAGAAACGACGACCACGTAACTTGGGGGATTTAACGATGTATCAATTTTTTTGAACAAAAAAGAAGCGAAAAAAGGGAAGAAATAACATGAAAATTGACACACAGATTGTATCATCGTATATATTGTATTATACATATTATAGAGAAGGAGAATAAACTTTATATAAATGACGCTGAATCCGTATACACACGTGCGTGTCATAAATGCGATCGAAAATACCTATATTATATAGAAGTATAATTACAACACGGGCACACACACATTGAAAATTCCTTCATTAATTGTCAGCAATTTGTATAAATAAACATTTATAAAATCATACCGAATGCGTATACATGAAATAAAAAAAAAAAAAAAAAAAAAAATAAAATGTGAGATTGATTTAATGATTCTGTTATCGATTATTATTATTATTATGCCGATATAACGTTTATGTCGTCAGAATTCGTTTGATAAATAAAATACATGTCGAAATTCAAAGGGAAATATTTCATTCGCCTCCTCTTTACTCCACTCCTCTCGTCGGTGTATAAATATTTTCCTATCTTTCTTTTTTACAGGTGCAGTAGGTAGTATGTGTAGTACTTCCTAATATAATCCATAATTCAGACACTATGCGCGGAGAAAATAAGTTTTATATATAAACCAAGCTCCTTTTTGCAGCGGAGAGAGCTGCGCAGCTAACAATATTAATGCGGCTAAATTTATTTAACCATTTACTCTCACTTGGTGTTTTTCGTATAATATATAAAAAAAAAAAGAAAGAAGTAATTTGTGGTTAAAAGCTTTTATTTCACGCGCGTTTGAGAAAAAAAGTCACGAGCCCAGCCAGCGGCAGTGTGCGGAGAAAAGAATTATAAATTAAAAATCCAGTGTGCTGCGACACGCTGAGAGCCGCAAGCTACACACACACTCTCGCGCGCACACACATAACACACATCGAGAAGGCTGCGGAAAAATGTCGAAGCGCAAGATATATAAGTCGAGCCGCAGTGAAAAAAAAAAATGCGCGCTCGTGCGGATCCGCGTTCGTGGGAGGCTTCGATCGCGCCGATTCGACGGTGTGCAGTAGTATAGTGGCTCTCTCTCTCTCTCTCTCGTTGAAAATTTGCTCGCTAATCGTGCCTCGATCAAACTTTCATGGCGAAAGTCTCGCGCGCGCAGTAGTACACGCAGGAAAGCTCGCGAGGAACAAGTGTATTTTCTGTTTCTCTCTCTCTCACTCGTCGCTCGATCAATCGACCACCACCACGGAGTAGCAGCAGCAGTAGAGTCCCCCGCATGGCACGCTTAGCAGCCTGCTGGCACACATGCACACATGCGAGAGCGGCAGAGGCCATTTCGAGTGTTATTGGCTTTTCCCTCAGTCCTATACGTATATATCCTATACATACGATATAGCATGTGAATATTCGACCGCAGTCGAAGCACGCACGCAAGCAGCAGCAGCAGCAGCAACTCGAGTGTTACTTGATGCAATAATGTGTGCAGCGCGCGAGCATAGTCGAGACGCGGCGGCGGAGAAAGAGCAGCAACGGGGGCGGACGGTATTATAGTGCACATAGCACATATAGAGAGACAATGGGCCACTGCTATTTTCCTTTTCGTTATATCATCATCTCGCCTGACTATTTATGGACGTTGTCGCCGGCAGGGGAGCTTTAGGTAATTCACACTCCATGGACGGTAACCGCCGCAGCGGCAGCGGCAGCCAGCAGCGATGGTATATAGTAGCCGAGAGCGAATTAACGCCCAACTGAAAGTATTACCATTCCCTAGTAGCTATTATAAATCAGAGTCTGCGTTATATTCCGAGCATTACTTTACCCCCCCCCCCCCCCCCCCCCCNCCCCCCCCCCCCCCCTCCATGGTCTAGCTATGTGTAACTCTTCTATGATATCGTGCCGTGCAATTTTCCGTGCATACACACATATATAGCCGTCACCTATGTGTGTGGATTATTTTTAAGTCGCTCTCTGTACGTTATATATATAACGCAGAGATCATGGGCTTTGATATACCTTATTCTCGAGCGAAATTGTATGCTAAACAGGAGGAGGGATGCGGGGGATATACGCGTTTATCGCGCGTACGGAGGGATGTGTGATACTTTTTGATAAATTACACGTACGTTTACAGGCAAAAAGAAAAGACTTACAAAATATTATATGAAAATAAATGTATATATTTTTTCTCTCTCATGAATGTCTCACGTGTCTCGTGTCGCGGTTCGGTGTACACTTACATGGAGAAACGTGCGCGTATTATAGCAGTATAACACACATGGTATTATTTACAGGGCGAGCGCGTAACGAGTCGTAAATCTTTCCAGTACAATTCAAAGTTCTTATCGCGATAAATAATGAACGATCTGTGCTTGGCCGCAGATTAAAACAATAGTCCAACGTATTAATCAAAGTTTAACGAACGAACAAACAAAAAAAGTCGTCGGCTGCGGCTGCGCCAGAGAAAATAATAATCGTGCGTTTCCTTCGAGCGATTTTCGTATCGTACACGCACGCGTAATGTATAATGGCGTTTGAATTGCGAGAAAAGAGGCCGCAGTGTCCCCGTGTACACGCGTGTGTGTGTATATTATAACGAAACATTATTTACGTTGATTAAACGCCTGCGCTCGGCCGGGGCTATACACACACCCATGGCCCGTAGTATAATGGGGGGTAATGCAACGCCACGGGCTTTAAATCCCCGAGTCCGATGCATTGAACGCATATATACACACACGTATATACATATATAGCTCCGGCCCAGCGGCATACTAGATTAACTAATTAGCCGGACTCGCGCGTTAATATTTCGCTAGGTGATTTAAGCCCCCCCGTACAACGAAGCGACGAAAAAAATCAAAATAACAAAATAACGGAAGAAAAATCCTCACGCCTCTCTGTTGTAACAACGACGAAGTTTTATACATTTTTATACAGATTTACAAAAAAAAAAAAAAAAAAAACGAGAGGCAATTAATCTTGCGATCGTTGTTCGATGTATATTGCCTCGAGGGGCCGATGAACTTTTAACGCGTGCGGCGGTGGTGGCGACGACGCACGTCGTATCGAATCGGAGATCCCGAGATGCTGTGCACACTATTATTTTGTTGTGGTTTTTTTGCTCTAAAGTCATTGCCACGACTGCGTATACGCTCGCCCGCAAGAAGTATTGTATCGGAGAATCCGCGAGCGCGATAAATGCGTTTATTGCTCGCGCGCAGTTCTGCCCGTAAAAACAGGCCAGGTTCCTAGCGAAATGTCGATATGACATGTACAAATTATTGACGATGAAAGATACTTTTCCAGAATTTAACGATAAACAAAAAAATACACAATTTGTAGCGAAGTGATCGAATCGAAAAAATAATAATTGATGTCATTTATCGAACCTGGGCCTCATTTCCCAAAGATAAAGCAAAACGCGTCATAAATTAACCTCAAGATCGAGTAAACAGCCATATAACATAAAAATTCCTTCCAAGTGCAGCGCCACCAGCTACGAGTTTTCTCCTCGGACTTGGTGTTCAATTGAAGATCCACAACTGAAATCAAAACAGATTCAAATACATGAAAAAAAAAGAAATTAAAAAAAATTAACAAAAAAATAACACAAATGACTTGTTCTTCGTAAAAGAAGCTTCTCTCGAGTTACGCAACGTATAAGCGTCAGTTGATACACTCCCCCTCCACCACCCCGTCCCATGAGCTCTCCTTTTTTACTCTCTATATAATATATGTACTTAAAAAACTTGTATTAAAAAAAGAAAAGTGCGATGTTTGGAAAGCTCATTCAAGCGCAATTGAAAGTTCGGCGGGGCGAGGACTTTGAAGTTTATAATAGAATTTTTTTTCGAAGCAGTTTTCCGCGCAACGCGAAGCGTCGTAAGTTAAAATTAATGAAACATTTAAAATTACGAAAATTTATTTAGTTAATTAAAGATTGTTAGCAACTTTCAACAAACACACATACAGACACACTGTATAAGAGAAAGGCCTTCGCAGGCACGAAGAGCAAGTTTTGATTTTTTATAACTTTTTTATTATAACAAATAATTCATAGTACACACGCTGCGTGCAAAACTTTTATTTATTTTCCAACAATATTTCGTGCATCGTTTAACCTTCTTCTTTCGTAAATTCATTTTGTTGCGTTTGCTCTTCAAATTTGGAGAAAAAAACGGCTGTAATCATTGCCGTTGTTGTTTTTTTTTCCTTTATAAAACTCGTTACTTGCAAGCAAACCACCAAGGACACTTTTGACAATTAATTAAACCCAACAATTAATATAATGATTTGAAAATGTAAACGTAACAAAAACAGCAGTTGCATAGAAACACAATTGTCGAACCTTGCATAAACATCAGTATGCAAGCTCTATACATTTCTGGAATAAATGTATGTAATATCGTATTTTGGAATTATACGGCATGCATGAAAGCAGCTTACACATCATCCGTGCGGCAAAATACGTACGGCACAATTCATAAATAAAGCGCCAAACGCGCGGCAACATCGATATCGAATCTGTCGAATTAATTGATAAGATACAGAGGTAAAAGAGAAAGAAAGACAGAGACAGACTGACAGATATAGATGCATCGAAAGCAGAAAAACACCGGAGCAATCGATGCACGGTTACAATCTAATATTACGAAAACTGGCAGTGGCGGCGGCGGCAGCATTGCGCGATCTGCTCCTACATATGTTTTTGTTATGATTGTGTCTTTTACCGGCGTGTTGTTGTCGTTGTCGTTGCTGCTGCGGCTGATGTTGTTGTTGTTGCAGTCCGCTGCTGCTGGCGTTGCTGTTGCTCAGCCTGTTCTCCTTGTCGCGCTCGAGCGACCGATCCCTCCTGTTGTCCTCGCTCTCGTGCAGGCTGCTTCTGTTGACTGCTACTACTACTGGCTGTGGAGGCAGCGGCAGCGGCGGCGACGCCATCGTGTCACGGCCGAAATCGAGTTTTTTCGGCTGTAATCCCTCTCGACGATTGAGCGTCTGCAAGTATCTGGATGCGAGCGCCGCGGCCTTCCTCGGGGCTTGAGGCACTCGAGGCTCTCTGTGCACGATCGGCGGCGTTCTTTTGATCTGTTGTAAACGTGTGGGTATGTGTGTGTGTGCGTGTGTGGGTTTCAAAAGCGCGTGTACGTCGTGCAGAAAAGAGAGCAGCAGCAGGAAGTAACACAGTCAGCAGCAGCAGCGGCGGAGAGAGAAAGAGAAAAAGAAGTATGAAAAATGGAGGTTATGCCAAAGCCAAGGCCAGTGTCGAGTGGACTTACTTACCCCGATGTCGAAAATCCTATTGTACGTCGGCCAAGCTGTTGTCGTCGCTTCGGCGATCTCGATGTAATTCATGACTCTCGAAGAGGATGATCAGTGCTGGCGCGTGCGGTAGTATATATATGCGTATACGCATGTATACACGATGCGACGGGGGGGACGGTTTGAAATTTGAATCTCAACGGTCGCCGCGAATCTTGAAAGCTACAATCGTCCGAGGCTCACCTTCGATGATTTTGAATTCGCGAGGACACGGACGACGACGACGACGACGAATCACGGTTATACCCTCGAGACATCGATACGGCGAATTGCGTCTCTCCTCCTTGCGACGACGAACACGTCCGGCGGCGACGACGTTGACGATAATAAACAAAATACGGTACAATGGCAAGTCGCATAATAATAATAATGATAAAGCAAGTTAAACGAACTCGAAGAGTCGAAGGGGGTAGTTGTGCCGCTGATCGTCGCTTTGCCGCAGGTGGCGCCACCTGCTGCGTTTTTACCCAATATCTATACTTTTGCTGCTCCGCTACTGCACTGCAAACGGCAGCCATTGATTGATTATCGAACGCGATCGAAAGCGACGAAAGGCCTTCGGTGCGTCCGAAGCTATGTAACGACGGATTTTTCGAACGAATTCGATTGAGACAAAAAGTAAATTTTGCTGATTGGATTCGCTTCGAAAATTAAAACGGGAAAAAAATTGCAACGACTTTTGCAAAAAAACGTGCGACGAATATCACAGTGTGTATTTTTACGTATTGTTTACATTTAATCATATTTTATTTCATGGAATTCGGAAGTCGCCTCTGAACGTCACGCAGGCAATGATAAATTGATATATATACTCGGTTAGCCTGTTGAATTTTCCATTCACAAGGCAATCGACTGCTGCTGCCGCTACTGCGGAGAGAGAGGAAGATGTCGAGAGGAGATTAATTTTTCGTCGGCAGAAAGTCAACTCGCACCGTTGACGACGACGACGACGACGACGACGACGACATGGGGTAAGTAAAAATTTCAATCAAGCCATACGTGCGTGCAGTCTATATGCATCGAGGTATACTTTTTTTCATATATTAATATATAAATACGAGAAGAGGTTGGCGAATCGACTGCGGCAATGTAAACCTCGAGGTCTCGGGCTCAATTTCCTCTTTTCGCCGCGAGTATAAGGTACTGCACCACGCTCGGCTTCTCTCTCTCTCTCCGCCGCCGCCGCCAAGTCCAATCAAAGTGCGACCGAGAAAATATGTCTGTCGTCGTTTTCCAGGTATATAACGGCGAGTTTTTGCTTTGATTTATCTTGGCCTCCCCGAAATAATAACGAGAGCTTGCCACGACGCGATCGCATTCCTCCGTTGAATATTGCATCTCGTCGCTTGGTTGCGGTGCACAGGCTACAATATTATTTATACTTGATTAAAAAAAAATATCGACTTTGTGAGTGGAAATACTTGAAAGAGTTAAAATTGAATACAATTGTAAAAATGTGAGCAGTCATCGGTGTGCACTGTGTTTGCTACATAATTTCTCATGTACACATGCGTTAATTTTGTAATCATCGCTCAACAGGATAGAAGAAAGATTGACAAGACATCGTTTTTTTTTCAACCCCCGATCTTCTCGTCGCGAAGCGCACGCGCCAACAGCGCGGCTTATTGAACTTTTATTGAAAAAATGTATTTATTTATATCCCCGATATCTCCCCCTTATATATTCTAAAAAGACACTCGATCTTGGCGCGGGAAATTTTCTTTGCGATACAATAAATATAATAATTCGCCATCGAAGATTCGCAAAATTCTACACTAACGGTACTTGAGAAAAATCGGTTTCGTCGGTTATATGCATCAACGTAGCTGCGCGTATAATTAATCCTCCGCGCGCGATTCGGGGGGGAAATAATAAGCCATTGTGCCGCATAGCGGGAGAAAAAATTCAGAAGCCACCCACGCACGCACGCATATATATACGGAGCTCCTCGCGTATTTATAGCTCGAAGCGCGTATAATACGTATACACACACGCGCGTTTATATAGCTATTGTCGTAGTAGTGGTACGTGTGTGCCCCTATGCGCTGCACCGCCGCCCCGGTTCATATAGGTCATAAAAGCAAAAATAAACGGGCGCGCGACGCGTTTATTCGTTTCTTTACGATGTTTTCCTTTTCCCACTCGTCGTCGTCGTTGTCGTTGTTTTTTTTTATTCCACCTCCTCCTCTCGTATATATACTCGAGTTTAGAGGGAGTTTAAAGCTCCGTAGTGAGCACACGCGAGTGTGTATTGCAGCTGCGATGCATATCAAATTGCTCTCGCGCGACTCGTTATCAAGCTCTCGCACCGCCACCGCTGCTGCTAGTTGTGCTTCATCATCCAGGATCTGCTCAGCTCTCTCTCTCTTTCATAACAGGCAGCTACTTATGACTTTTACCGCAAACACGTACGACTCATTATCCGCTGCGGCTGCTGCGCTTTTCTCTGCTCTTGTTTCTGCTGCTGCTGCTGCTGCAGTTCGTTCGGCTCGAAATAATCATGTTTATCCGGCCCATCGCCGCGCTGCGACTCTTCCGCGGAGAACGGAGCCTCTATTATTGCGTAATACTGTATGTAGCAGCGGCACACGAGAGAAGCTCGAGCGTCGAGTGGCTGACTTAACGCCGACTTCATCCACTCCTAAATATACGCGCGCGAGAGAGAGAGAGCTACTTATTTAGTTCGGGCTGTGCAGCGCGCAAACTTTACCCCTCTACATACATACATATGGACGAGAATCGCGCGAGGGGATTTGTCCCGAACGCGTGTACGATATATATTCCACGCTCTCTCGCGCATTCGTGCAGTTATAACTCGCGCGCGCAGAATTTAACGGAGGAATCTTGCACCGCGCACAGTCGTGCATTCCGAAATACTAGTGTGCGCGACAATTCACGCTATTATCCCCGTTCGGCACGTAGTTATGTCGATAGTTGGGCAGCAGCGGCTTTAAATCTCGGCCAAAGGATCATTTCGCGAGATACTGTAATTTATCGCTCGCCCACCTCCGCGTTCTACAATAATAATAATAATAATGATATAATATGTGGGTATATGGGGTACGAGCGAGAGAAAAAAAAAGGCAAACAACGTAGAAAAACAAATTATTTTTCCCAAGCAAACCGCGTGTATGCGCTACACGTTTATTGAATTGAAAAAACAACAGTGGCAGGTATTATATTGAATATATGTATTATACGAGCAGCCGCGTGTGCCGCTGTCTAGGCTACACTGCACCACACTCAAGGGGACACGTGTACACCGCTGAAAGCTATATATCCAGTCATTACTTATACGTATACACGGCACGGCTCGAACTCGTGGCTGACCGCTCGGCTGGTCCGTCCGACGAGCAGTGGCCCACTGGCTGACTTCGTGACCGGTACACGTGTTTCGTGTGTGTGTGTGTGATAGCCCCACCTGTAAATTTTTTTTTATTACGTATTTATGTATTCGAGTGAGTTAAAGGAGTTGAGTTAGAGAAAAAGGAAGGATGCCGTCCTCGCTCGTTCGGACGATAGCCGTCGTCGGCTTGTTTTACGCCTGCCTCGGCCGGGCTCAACGCAGCGGCGGCGGCGGCGGCGGCGGTAGCGACGACTCCTCCGCCAACGTACCTGTCCGGCCGATCAATCTACGTACGTATTACAGCACGTGCAACAATTTGTTGGTTTTGTAACGTTATCTACGTTATTGCTGCGCGATGCGGCCATTTTTTATATAATATAAATTTAACCGCGCGAAGAAGGACGGCCGGAAATTTCTCTGACCTTAAAACTCGACTCGTTCTTTTCGGGTGATGAAGAAGGAAAACTCGACGGCTCGTAATGTTTCATTGTAAATGTATGTATGTGTATGTGTGTGTATCTTGTACATTATATAAAAGCGTAAGCCTTTTCTTATACCGCCGCTACTGCAGCAAACCCCGGGCAACAATAAAACAAACGAACAAACAAAAAATATGACTTTTAGCAGAGAGAAGAAGAATGTCGGGCTCGCTCGCTCGCTCGCTGTTGGTCGGGGGGTATTTTTGACAAATTGCTAATGTATATATAGAGAAAACAGTGGCGCACAGCGAGATAGCTATACATATATACGGGCAGGAGCTTTTCATGTGCAGAGTGCGGCAATCAACGGCTGAGCTGCAGAGAGAGAGAGAGAGTATAGCGCGCGTGGATGTTTTTTGTTTAATTTTCGCTTCAATGGGCCGCGAATACTGCTACTGCTGCGGAGAGACAGAGAGAGAGAGAGACAGAGAGAGCGCGCAGAAAAGGGGACCGAATGGATAGTAGAGACAATATATAGTATACACGTATATAAATCGAGGATTATTGCTCTCGCGGAGAGAGAGAGAGAAGAGAGAAAAGCGACGAGTCGTGACTCTCTCGCCATATATACTCGCTATAATTATACAAGTATCTCTCTACCTTCCTTTTTTTGTTGTTATCGTTGTTTTGTTTTTCTTATGTATATGCAGGCCGCGCGAGTCGAAGTTGCATAATTGTTTGTGTGTGTATGCTCGCGAACTGGCGCTTGGCATCGATGACAATCGTCGTTTATGTATCATTATTATTATTATACGGGTTAACGATGACTCCGATCGCGTGGCCCGTTACCCCCCGCCTGCGCACATTATTTTATTTATCAGATCAATTGATTCGTCGAATGTAATACAATAATTGAGATTATGGCACACGTCGACGCGTGGACAGGCTGCAAATAGAGAGAGAGAGAAATTATATATAACACGATAACTCTGTTATTATTGTCTATATTATTATCGAGCGAGCATCGAAAAACAGGACGAAGGTCGTAAAATCGCCTTTTCCCTTCTGCTTCGTGAATATTGCGCGAGACTCGCGCGCGCACATCTCTCTCTCACTCTCTTTGCTGCTGCTACTGCTGCTGCTGTGTACGTATGTACGTGTGTGTGTGTATTATACCATGCACACAACGGGTTAGCGCAAAAAAAAAAAAAAAAAGAAAGTACAACAGGAGAAAATATCAACGTCGAGAGAGAAAGAGAGAGAGGAGTCGACCGGTTAAATCAATAAATCAATAATAGGTCACTGTTACGCGCGCGCGCGCCCGTGTGTCTAAGTGCGCGAGTGACTCGTCCGTTCTCCTGTCTGTATATAATATATAATAATCTATATTAAAACATCGTGCGTTCGTGTGCGAGTGTGTACTGCACAGGTCGCACTACTTGTACCTGTAGCATTAATAATATGCACAATAATGTTTACACGCGCCGGGGGCAAGTAAAAAAAGTCGAAAGATACGAGCGAAATACAAGAACAACAACGACAAAAAAAAGTAGCTGCAACAACCCCCTTGTACATATACACGCAGAAGGTGCGAGTCGATATTTTTATGCGCGACGCTAATATGATTAAATTCCATTATTATATATGGACATAATTTTTAGCGCGGATCGATGTTGTATGTGTATGCGCTGCGTTATATTATGTCGTACGCAAGGGAGCTTCCAGCAGCGATGTGTGTGTGTATCGTAAAACGACCAAGGACGACGACGACGAAGCTACGCGCGCTTAATTACTTAGAGGAGCAGTAGCTCCTCGCTCGACTGCCGTTGGAGGCATTGAAATTCTAAACGAAGCTGTTTATGTTTACGAGAGAGAGAGGAAGAGTTATACGAGAAAAAGAAAAGGAGCCGAGCGAGCGAGTGGCAAAGCGCATATACGCACCCAACCCTGATTCAATTAAGTATTTGTCTTCGAAGGAGGAGGTAGAGGAGGAGGAGGAGGACAATCAGCAGCAGCACTCGGAGAACAAATATTACAAGGGCACACACATCGATGATGATGCTATACGTACTGAAGGAATAGGAACTGCTGCTGCGGCAAATTGGCCGTGCTTATTTATATAGAATGTATATATAGTATTTGAACTGCTGTGCTGCAGCAGCAGCGGAGGTCCTCTTCTACATATATACAAAAAAACTGCACTGGGTGTTTGATCGCGCAAAGGATACTCCATATTATCGTTATATATATATAGAAGCAGCAGCAGCATCAGCTCGCGTAATTTTTCTTCGTCAGCCTTTTATATTCTCTCTTTTCCTGAAGCACGGCTAATTGAGCCCCTCTCTCGTTCTCCAACTGTCCGGACTATGTAATCATTCCGTTCATTTCTCTTTCTCTCTAGTTATATATGTAGTATATAGCTAAGCACCCGAACGCTTCTCTCTCTCTCTCTCTTCGGGGCCATTGAAGACCTCAGCGAGAGAAATTATACCGCCGCGCTGACTGAAAAATGGCTCTTAGTGAAAATTCCGCTCCTTTTTTTTTATCTTTTCTCCGTTCGACGGAATACATCGGATATTTAATTGTCCCGTAATAGCGCAGCCGACCACCACCACCACCACCACCACCACCGTCCTAGCTCCTCTTTAAAATCGCGCGCGCAATCGTCTTTTCGACGATCGTGTGCCACATTTAGGAGCCAACCTCGGCTCCCCGCCGCCACCGACGCTTTAATGGCCTGCTCGCGCGCTATACCTCCGAAAAAAGTCGCTCGTGTGATTTTTTTCCTCCCCCTCCGCACCACGTCGAATGAGTATAATATCCGAGGATATAAACGGAGCTCTGTGCCGAGTAGTAGTATAATATCTATGTGCGCAGGCACGAAATATCATTGAGAGAAACGCGTCGTCGAGTCCTTTATGCTTCTTTTTTTTCTTTTCGTCTGCCACTGCACAAAAAAGGTCACATCCTTGTTCGCCGCGTGTATACGAATGTGTGTGAGTGTATGTGTGTCGCAGCTTTTTTCCTGGTACAAGCGCATAATAAGTATTTCATATAGAGAAAGCCAACTCGTGCGAGGAAAGCCGCTGCTGCTACTACTACTCACGTGCATACAGGCGCAGGCAGGCACACGTGCGCAAACTTTTTTTCCGTTTCAAAATGCCAAAAGTGGATGGCTGCTGCACGAGACTCTAAAATGTGTGCAACTGCTGCTGCTGCTCGGCTCGGCTGTGTTTTCATGCATATGTATATAAGTATTATGTGGCTTGATAAAACGCCTGAGCTGTGGAAATTGCGCTTATCTACATTTACCCTCCCCGTTGCTCTCTCTCTTGGTTCCCACCCCCGCCGCGCTCCAGCTCTCCGACCCATTCATATTTTTTTTATAACCACGAGCTGCTGCTGCTGCTGCTGCTGTTGCTATACCACTGTAGAGAGTATTATATATAGTGGCTGAAAAATTATCGGATGCACTTCAGATTGGGCGAAAAGTAAAGCCAAGTTCGAGTATATACGTATATATAACTAATTTGAGCCAAAAAAATGCACGCCCACGCACCCGCACGCTATATATAGATGAAAAAGAGAGAGAAAAACAGGGATAAGCCGAAGCTCTCTAGCCGAACGAGCCGCAGCTCGACTTGCGCTGCTGCTCTTTCTCATCACTTACTCATACTCTCCTCAGAAGACCCCCTATACTCGAACTTTGAGCAGCTCTCGCGTTATATGTACTGGAGTAGCATAAATTTCGCAACGGGAAAAAGAAAAGCGCCTTGTGGTACACAGCTACACGCCTCGTAATCAAAAGGACCTCGAAACGAACGCGTGTGTATATATTATGGTAAATTTCGCCAAAAACGAAAGCTCCGCATAGAGCTGCGAGGCAACGCCTCGACGTCGCTTTCAATTCGCGCGCGGAAAAAGTAGGGCTACATCACGAGAATTCATTTCAGCGCGAGCGCGACATCAATGGCGCGGGTTTATAGAGCCGTTCTTCGAGTTTCATTCGCGCGCGTACGAAAAGTTAGATGAAAAAAAAATGATAATAAAACAGCGAAAAAAGCTCGTGCTTTGCAACTCGCACTCACACACATGAGTATACAGCTGCAGCGCGTTTGTATGTAACTTTTGATGGTGCCACTACTGCACTATATACGCGAGAGAGAAGTCGTAAGCGCGCAGCGCGTGTAACACCTATGTAAATACGCGCGACGTTATTTCCGACGCGTAGTATACTCACTTTGAGCAAGTTTTACTCCTGCGTTTCGCATGCGAGTACAGTATCAAGTTCACTCGTAGTTATACATACGGCGAGCGAGTCGAGAGAGAGATACGCAGTTAACGTATCGGAGAGCCGAGTATACGCAGTACATAATAGAGAAGCTCATGCTCGCCTGCGCCTGGGAAAAGAAGAAAGACATACTTACTCTCTCGCAGCAGCAGCAGCAGCTATACGTTATATCGCGCGAAGCACAATGTGCCCCGTATAGTAGTGGGCTTAAAATATTTGCAATTAATTCCAAGATAAATGGCCGAACGCGAATGAGATAATTTATTTGTGTACGCGCGCGTGTGTCTATGTGTGTATAAAGAATGTATACGAGGCGACACATTTTTCACGCGCTTATCACGCGCGCGGCATTCGCGTTATACAATTTGTTTCGCGCGCGGAAAAGAGATGCTTCTTTACTTTTCTTCTGTATATAGCTGCTGTGCTATAGAATGCCTGAGAATTTCGAGCGCTAGCTGGTCAGCGGAGCATTTTTTACGAGCTTTTCTATTACGATAGAGATACCGGAGTGGCGCGTGGGGACAAAATGAAAATTTTTCAAAACCCAGCTTTACCGAGATTTCCACTTGTATAGAAAAAATAGGAGCTTTACAAAAATATATATATTTAGTTTTATCAAAATTACCTTTACTTTTACACCTCGCAGTCGTCATCAACGACTTCGACAACGACCTGGCCAACAAGAGCGTGAGCAACTCCCTCAAGGCCCTCAAGGACAAGAGCCCGGACAAGCTCGGCCAGGTCTACGTGGCCCTGGTCAACATAAGCGACGGCGAGGAGACCATCAACAGCGTCTGCTCGGTCTGGAAGTCGGCCCTGCGCAGCAATCCGGACGAGATACCCGACTTCGTGCTCGACGTGACGACCTTCGGCGCCGGCGCCGAGACGGTCAATCGTTTCACGGCCTTGCTCGGCATACCCACGGTTTCGGCACAGTTCGGCCAGGAGGGTGATCTGCTCGGCTGGAGGGAGATCACCGAGGAGCAGAAACGTAACGAAAATATATTATGATTTTTCATCGTATATATAGATACCAATCGTGTATGTTTATTTCGCAGAATACCTGATCCAAGTGATGAACCCGGCGGACCTGATGCCCCAGGTGATACGCCAGCAGTGCCTCGAGTTCAACATCAGCAACGCCGCGATCCTCTTCGACGACAACTTCGTCATGGACCACAAGTACAAGAGTCTGCTGCTCAACGTGCCCACGCGCCACGTCATAGTGCCCACCCGGGAGGCCGGCGAGCCGCTTCAGCAGCAGATCTCGCGTCTGCGCGACCTCGACATCGTCAACTTCTTCGTGCTGGGCGACGAGTCGACCATAGCCGCGGCCCTGTCGGCGGCGAGCAAGCTCAACTTCACCGGCCACAAGTACGGCTGGTTCGGCATCAGCCTCGTGCAGGACTTCTCGCTGCTCTGCCAGGACTGCTCGAGCATGTCCCTGATGCTGTTCAAGCCCAAGCAGTCGCAGAACCAGCAGCAGCTCAACGAGCTCATGAGCAAGGGCCTCCTGCAGATCCCGCTGATCATGTCGGCCTTCTACTACGACCTTGCGAAGCTGGCGGTGCTGGCGATGAAGTCGGCCCTGGACGCGGGCGAGTGGCGCAGGCCGCGCTTCGTCGACTGCGACGACTTCAACGAGAACGTGACGGTGGCGATGCGCAACGTCGACCTGAGGAGGCGGCTGCGCCAGGTGAGCAGCGGCAGCGGCTTCAGTCCGACCTACGCGGGCTTCCACTGGGGCAACAAGAACGGCGAGAACCACGCCAAGTTCGACGTGGACGTCAAGCTCTGGATCGTCAAGGACTCGAAGGTCGTGAACGAGGATCAGGTGGCGTTCTGGGAGGCCGGCATCGACAACAAGCTCAAGGTGAGACGACGACGCGGCTCGTCAATTATTTAAACCCCGTATAATGTATATTGGCCCGTGTACGTGTGCGTTGTGTACTTTGGCTTATCGCCCGATCAGAGACTACGCGATCAATTTGCTCTATACCTACGTGTAAATAGCAATCGAGTGTAGCAGTCGCGCGAGCTCCTCCGGTTTCGCCGATCAACGTTTTTATATATATATACTCATTCGTTGTCCGACTTCTTCTTCTTCTTCTTGCGCAGGTGGAAAAGGCATCGATGGCGGCGAGCCACACCGCGGTGACGAGCTACCGCGTGGTGACGGTCATCAAGCCGCCCTTCGTGATGCGCGACAATCAGACCGGCAACTGGTCCGGCTACTGCATCGACCTGCTCAATCAGATACGCGACCTGGTGCAGTTCGAGTACGAGATACGCGAGGTCGAGGACAAGGAGTACGGCAACATGGACGAGGCCGGCAACTGGAACGGTATGGTGCGCGAGCTCAAGGACAAGAAGGCCGACATCGGCTTGGGGGCGCTGGCGGTGATGGCCGAGCGCGAGAACGTCGTCGATTACACGGTGCCGTACTACGACCTGGTCGGTATCTCGATAATGCGACGCAAGCCCAAGGCCGCGACGTCGCTCTTCCAGTTCCTCACCGTGCTCGAGACGGACGTCTGGCTGTGCATACTCGGCGCCTACTTCTTCACCTCGCTCCTCATGTGGATCTTCGACAAGTTCTCGCCCTACAGCTATCAGAACAATCGCGAGAAGTACAAGGACGACGAGGAGAAGCGCGAGTTCACCCTCAAGGAGTGCTTATGGTTCTGCATGACCTCGCTGACGCCCCAGGGTGGCGGCGAGGCACCCAAGAATCTCTCCGGGCGACTCGTGGCCGCCACCTGGTGGCTCTTCGGCTTCATCATCATCGCCTCGTACACGGCCAATCTCGCCGCTTTCCTCACGGTGTCGCGACTCGACGCCCCGGTCGAATCGCTCGAGGATCTCAGCAAGCAGTACAAGATCCAGTACGCGCCCATCATCAACTCGTCCGAGTATCGCTACTTCGAGCGCATGGCCGCCATCGAGAATCGCTTCTACGAGATCTGGAAGGACATGAGCCTGAACGACAGCCTGTCGGACGTCGAGCGCGCCAAGCTCGCCGTCTGGGACTTCCCGGTGAGCGACAAGTACACCAAGATGTTCCAGACCATGAAGGACACGGGCTTCCCCAAGAATCTGGACGAGGCGCTGGAGCGAGTCAGAGCCGAGGACAAGACCGAGTTCGCCTTCATCGGCGACGCCACGGACATCAAGTACCTCGTCATGACCAATTGCGAGTTCATGCAGGTGGGCGACGAGTTCTCGCGCAAGCCCTACGCCATCGCCGTGCAGCAGGGCTCGCCCCTCAAGGATCAGTTCAATAACGCGTAAGAGGCATAATAATCGAGCTTTTTAAACCCCTCGCGGAACTGTATTATATAATCTGAATCAACGCGATTGCAGGATTCTAATGATGCTGAACAAGCGCAAGCTCGAGGCGCTCAAGGACCAGTGGTGGAACAAGAATCCCCTGAAGCAGCAGTGCGATAAGGCCGACGACCAGAGCGACGGCATTAGCATCCAGAACATCGGCGGAGTTTTCATCGTGATCTTCGTCGGGATCGGGCTCGCCTGCGTCACATTGATTTTCGAGTACTACTATTATCGCTATCGGCCGCAGGCCCGACAGCGCCATCAAGATCGCAGCTCGAAAACTAAGTTAGCCCCGGGCATTACCAAGCCCATGAAGTTCAACCTGAGACCGGCGCCTACCCAGAGTTTCGAGCAGATCGACACTACTGGCACCAGCGGCGGTGGCGGTGGCGGCGGCGGCGGCGGCGGCGTCGGCCACAGATCGAGATATTGAGAGAGAGAGAGATATCGAGGCCAGCTCGCGCGCGAAACACACATCGTCGTAATATACCTGCGCATTAGTAACTCGTAACTTCGCGACTCGTAGCTGCAACGTCGAGAGTATAACTTTCCAATTATTCCTTCGTGTACGTATACGTGTAGCTATACGTATTAGTTGTAATACTTCGGTAATGCTGCGCGCGATTACGTATGTTATCCTTCAATTAAAGCCACGCATACGAGTGTGCAGTTGCAAGAGCGCGTGGAGTTTTTTTTACCAATTTTTTTATCAAGTGCGAATGTTGTTGAAAAATAATGATCCCGTGAAAGTAGGACGGTTTATAGCGCTTTACAAATTTGAGTAAGAATTCAATAATATCGTGCACCCCCCAAATTACGGCTATGCAAGTTTACGCGCATTGCTTCGCGCATAATCGACCATTTGAACTCGTAAGAAAAAAACAACCAAGTTGACATTCATCGCGCAGAGTCAGTAGTGAGCCAATATGACGGGGTGTGCTTATCGATACGTAATTTCAACGCAAATTGACGGTTTAAACGCGCAAACTGTTCATTTCGGTATGGCTTTGATGCATGGAATTTGAAATGGAATTTGAATGCGGCAATGAAGCAAACATTGAAAATTTGCAATTTCAATCATATTCCAAGTAGTGTAGATTCTCATTGCAATGCGTTTAATCAATCAAGAATATTAGGGATAACGTGACGTAATTTAACTAATAATGATATTAGTGAAACTTTAATTTAAAAAATCACGCCGTTTTAATCTTTTATTGGATATGAAAATGCACATCGAGAAAAAATTTCACAGTTGCTGACCGCATGCATTTTTCCCTTTTCCGATGTTTAAATAAGATTTCTTTTTGAAAAATTTAAATCCCCTTTGAATGCACTATAAGTGTGTTACTGTAGAGACTTGAGTACATCTATGAAAAAATAAAAATTGAGCTTTTGTTAAACGTGGCCAGGCTATAGCAGAATACGAGCTGGTTAGAAGGAAATTCAAATATACCATGCATAAGTTGTTGAGTCGAGAGTGTGTATTGGATCACGCAATTAACTTGAATATTTGAAGAGCACTTGAAATTTGACATTATGTATGTACTTAATGTATAATAATAATAATGTTCTCTCTCACTCACTCACTCACAAATAGCTTTCGGTGCCGTTGTTGATTTTCAATAAATATTTAGCGACTAGAATAATTATAAATAATTACGCACGATTCACTTGCTGGCTTTGAGAACTGAAAATCATTACAACTGCAGTTTATGTGTTTATTATTATTATTATTATTTCCGCGTAACTCGGTGTTGCAATTGCGCTATGGATTATCGATACGATTGTGTTCGGCTAATATGTTCTTTTTTTTTCGAAGCGATACTCTTGTTGTTTTGCGATGTAACTACCTGCAATTATTACGTAGCTATACATTTCGCGCGTTCCCATTTCACCGACTTTTCAACAAAAAAAAAAAAAGAAAAAAAGGTCGAAGGGGGCGAGAGAAGAACGAAGAGACAAATGTCAAAACAACGATTGCCATCGTGCGAGCATCAGTTGGCTCATTGTAATCGTCTCGCGTCGCGAGAATGGCGACGAGAACAATTCCGACTTACTCGGTGGTAACCATACCTAAGGCCCCGTTCGTCATGCAATCCAGCGTCGACGGTCGCTTCAGCGGCTTATTGATCGACCTATTGAACGAGCTGGCAAGACGTCTGCGCTTCAGGTACAAAATAACGGTGCTGGGCGAGAACGAGTACGGCATCATGAACGACGAGGGCGAGTGGGACGGCATGATCGGTATGTTGAAGAACGGCAAGGCCGACATAGGTCTGGCGGCTCTGAGCATCATGTCCGAGCGAAGGAGGGTCGTCGATTTCACCGAGGCCATCTTCCCGTCCGTGGGAATTTCCGTGCTGATGCGTCAGCCGGTCGTGCCCACGACTTTGTTCAGGTGAACTATAATGCGATTCGACGATTTCCATCGAACTCCATATTGAAAACTATGTACTTTTAATGCGTAGATTCTTGACCATCCTCGAGGTGGACGTGTGGCTCTGCATCATCGGGGCCTACTTTCTGACGAGCCTGCTGATCTGGATATTCGACGCGTGGTCGCCTTACAGCTATCAGAACGTCGTGAAAAATCCGAAGAAGGCCGGGGTCGACGAGAAGGACATCGACGACGAGTGCAAGCGCATCTTCAGCCTGCGCGAGTCGCTCTGGTTCTGTCTGACGTCGCTGACGCCCCACGGCGGCGGCGAGGCGCCGAGAAACCTGTCGGGCCAGCTCGTCGCCGCGACCTGGTGGCTCTTCGGTTTCATCGTCGTGGCCTCGTACACGGCCAATCTCGCCGCCTTCCTCACTATCAGCAAATTCGAGAAGGTCATCGAGAGCTTCGACGACCTCGTCGAGCAGTACAAGTTCTCGTACAGCGTCGTGGAGAACAGCACGACCTATCGCTACTTTCTCAGAATGCGCGACATAGAGATGCGCTTCTACGAGTGAGTATATTATAATGGTCGCTCGAGTGGAGCCGATAAAAAAAAAAAAATTGACGCGTAACAAACTCGCGAGCGCGCGCAGGATCTGGAAGGATACGACGCTCAACGACAGCCTGTCGCATTACGAGCGCGCCCAGCTCGCCGTCTGGGAGTACCCGCTGAGCGACAAGTTCATCAGGATATTCGCGGCCCTCAAGCAGCACGGCCTGCTCAAGAGCTTCGACGAGGCCATCGAGCGCCTCGAGGCGCCCCAATCCAAGTTCGCCTTCATCACCGAGGCCACGGACGTCAAGTATCGCGCCCTCACCGACTGCCAGTACAAGGAGATCGGGCCGGAATTCGCCAAGAAGCCGTACGCCATAGCGCTGCAGAAGAATTCCAATCTCACGCAAGCTTTCAACAATGCGTGAGTCGAACGAGTCTGGCGATACATTGATTGCTTGCTCGATTAACGATTACGCCTTATTTTCGCAGTATTTACGAGCTGTTCGACAACAGATGGATGCAAAACGTTCGCACCAAATGGTGGGAGGAAAATCCCGAAAGGAAATTTTGCGACACGGACGAGCTCAAAGGAGGAATAACGATCAAGAGTATCGGCGGGCTTTTTATTTTCATTTTCATCGGGATTGGCTTGAGTTTGGTGACATTGATATTTGAATATTTTTACTTTACCCAATTCAAGAGAAAATTCAAAAACGTGCTTGATTTCTCGACCGTCGCGTGGGAACGGGTAAAAGCGATGGCTACGAAAGTGTGGCGAAAGTTGATATCATGATGATCCATTGGTAACATGTATAAGTAGGGTGAATTCAATATAAAATATAACAAAACTTATAGTCTGCAATAAGTTTATTTCATCATTCTTAGATTTTATATACATTTCGAATAGTGTGTGTATTCCACATTTCACATTTTACAGCTCTCTTTTATTCGTTCGTGACACTTTTGGTTCGTTTTTTTATTATTTGTGTTTACATGAATGCATGTGTTCGTTTAATCTTATATTTCTTTGTTTTTTTTTTTTAGTAAAAAATTTAGATTTCGAAAATACAATTGGTTTCGAGCATTTATTTTATTTATTTAAACTCATACATTTTTTGACATCTCTCGAGTTTTTCACTAATTAAGTAATAGTTAAAAAGTCGTCCCAATTTTCGTCAACTTATATATCAACTGTATAGATTTTTTTAGTGACCTGTTAATCCCTAATGACCACATCGACATTTCGATCAGTTCAGTTAGCAATTGAATATGAAGTTTTCAATAAATAACCTGATAATTTTTCCTAATGGTCACTTTGATTTTTCGATAAATTTTTTCATCATTTGATTCGAATGTTTTTTAATTTATATTCTCAATTGATATGATGTATATACATTATTAAAAATAACATTCAAGTGCGATTTAAATTATTGTTCTTTGTTACGAACATTAGTTCTCGTAAATAAACGTCCAATCGATAAAACAACAGAAACTGACATTTAAAATATAATTTTAATATGATGAGCAAAGTTATAACAAAACAACTGGATAAAAATTTTCCATAGTAATCAATATAGCTTACATACTCTTCTCTCAGACTGTAAATTAAAAAGAATCAAAATTTTTAAGAATATCTTTTCGAAGTTTGCAATCCACCTTGCAATTTTATACGTTTTCGCCTCTTTATATATAATATATAGCATCTTTTTCTCTTTTTCGTTGATGCGAATCTCTGCTCATTATTTTCTTTTTTACTTCATTTATAAATTTTGTTATATGACTCTTGTCATAATTTTATAATATATTTATTTTGTTATATTTCATACAATATTCTCACCCCGAAATGCATTTCTTGTATTACAGTATTGTTTTTTTTTTTTGCATTTCGTTCTTACATCATTCAAAAAATTTTTCATTCTATTCTGAATCAAGATTTATTTTCACTTTTTCCTCAAACACTCCACTTACTCATTCAAATTATTTTTATTTTGCTTTAAATTTTGTTGTTTTTTTTTTTCATTTTATTCTTTCAAGTAAGGATACGAGGGAGAAGAATTGTGAGGTACCAGGCAGCAAGAAAAAAGATGGGGAATCTAGTAATTCTCGCTACAAGTGCGCAAATACCAATTACATTTTCCATAAAGAGACTCAGGCACACATGGCCTGTGTAATTGGATTAAATTTTAACGCACATGTCGCGAAGATCATCTTATAAGGGATACTTTGTACACTACGAAGTTAAATTATATTAAGGAAATATAACTATGGTAAGTTCATTAATAATCTAAGGAAAACAAGAAAATTTACCAGTTTAGTAATTTTCTCTGTTTTCCTGCAAACATGCTTTTGTGAGCATTAATTATTAAGTTCTCTTTTCCATATGATACCTATTCTTCCAAAGCCTAACCCAACTTAAAAATTTTCTTGTTATTTTTGTTTTGTCTTTTTTTTCGACATTAAATTTCGTCAAATATAGCTGTCCATACTCTCGATATGCAGCATATTCCATAATTTTTTTTGACACTTTACAGTATCCTTAGATATTTATAAGAAATAAAAATTAACTCTAATTTTGAAATAAATAAAATAAAGGTTAACAGCCACGACTTGCATCATAGCTCCTTAATAAAATTTAAGGTCAAGTTTTCGTCACGAAAAAAACGAAAACTTCAAAGAAATAAAGAAGTGACGTAAACATTTATCAACAACTAGAAAATCAATTATCACTCTTACTAAATTCAAAAAAAGTGTAAGAACAAGTACCTTCAACATACTCGCAATAAACGAGATATTTTTGTAAAAGGAATTTGCTTGCTTCCATCAACTTTTTTTTTTTTAATTTTTTTCAATTAGTTTTCGGTTTCACGCAATGGATGTATATTTATAATTAATTTTCCTAAACGAATTGATATTTAATCCATCTTTTATCGTCATGTTTATAATAACATAAGGGGCTTAACCAAGCCGTCTTGGTTTCATGCATAACAAATTCCACATGCCAAGAGGACCCCAAAATGCCGTTTCATCGTATTAATAAGATATATCCATGTTGCATGACGATTATTACTAGACTAAAACACAATTCTTTACTGCTTATGATGAATCGTTATCAAGACAGGATCACCCGTCTGATCCGTTCACAGTGTTAAAGGGCGTAACACTGCTAGTGGTCGAGTTTTGAAGTTACAGCTGAGTCTTCTAAATTATAATACTCCAGTGAGTCACGGGTTTAACAACAAATTTATAATCAACATTTGCTAATCTAATAGTACCTTTTCCTTTCAAACCGTAATTGCCATTCTGGCGAATTCCACATATTAAAAGAACAGTTCGCAGTTTGTCCAGTTCGGTCAAAAGCAAAATAGTTCGTCGAAAAAATTCTACGTGCAGCTGGTACACGAATGGGTTCGGCAAAATCAGTTTGAGTAGCCACATTGTTTTGTTTTACTTTGAATTTTGGAACTAAGGCGGAACTGTTAGAAGACTCTTCATTAGCTGAGTAATTCATGTATGGAGTTTCACCTCCAGGAAGATAAAACACTCTTTCTGACTCCGATCTGCTAAAAACCATAACGTAAATGAATATTTGTTATAAAACCGAGAAAATTTTAATTTTTGATAAAAAAAGAAAAGATTAATATTACCTCTGATACATTATTTGTTCTACTTCGCTGTCGACAGAAAAGGTAGTCCCATCTGTCAAATGACCGTCACTTTTTATTGGTTTAAAATGAGTTCGGTCTGATGTTAACAAATCTTCATCAACGGGCTCAATACATTGAATTCTTTTCAATTGCTGAGCTTCCTCGGGACTTTGAAATTGCTTGCAGCAATTCAAAGAACAAGCTTGCGAATAGTCACTGCGATCTAATGCATCATTGTTATCAAAATTGTCGTAGAACCAAGTAGCTTCTTGAGTCGGCTCAACCTCAAACCGATCATTTTTTCGGTTTTGAGGTGTTTTGTCATCTTCATTTTTGTTCTCGTCAAATGAATCTCCGAGAACAAATGAATTAACGCTCAGCGGTAAAATCGACGAGTCATCGGAATTTTCATCATCAGCCGTCTTGTCAATTTTTTGACAGAGAGCCGAATTGGAAAACGATGCACTCGAATGATTACCTGGCCATACAGAGTTATCCATAACGGGTACGCTGTTAGACCATATAGAGCACCCAGGCGACCCATCCGTTCCATCATCCCACAACTTTTTCACCCTTGGTGTAAACTTGGCTTGGATGTCCTCCTCGCATCCTGGTGAAACTATTGTTCCATTATCCCACAACTCTTTCAAGCTGTCAGTAAATTTAGCTTGAAAATTAGCAAGTCGTCTGTCGTACATTTCTGCTGCTGTAAGCTGAATGTCATCCATTGAGAGCGTCACTAAACAATATTCTTCAGCTTGTGAATAAAGTGTAGCGTAATATAGCTTTTCTTTAAGTTCTTCTAGAGTGGGTGTTGATTTTTTTCCGATTGGGTCGATCGAAAATGTATTCTGTAAAATAAAAATCAATTCAAAAGTAAAAAAAGTGAATTAATAACTGGAATTCGATAAGTTTGTAAGTTAGAAATGACATACATTGTTACTATTCGGAATCTGCTGTGTAGATCCTGCCTTCTCAGAAATTGCAGAAAGGTTTCGTTCGTAGTGTTTATTTTTCTTCAAATAAATTTTCTTGGCGCTCTTATCTTTTCTGCATTTGAGCTGTTCTTCAGATAATCCGGAACAAAATCTTAAATACTTTAAAAAAGACTGCTTTTCTTCATAATTTCTATTTTTATAAAAAGACCAAACTATTTGCAAGGCAGGATATTTTTCTTCGTAGGCAGTATTTTCCTCGTCCTGAGATACTATTGGAGGATTCAAGAGGCTCCTCTGAAATGGATAAAAAAATTCAGTCATCTTCATACAAACATCGATAAGAGTAAATAAATGATTTTTTTCTTAAAATCTTACCGTTCTATAAGCACGCCATTCTCGAATCAGATCAGTAGATATAAGTCGACTTATTCCCGCAAGCTTTTGGCGCAACTTTGCGGGAACCGAGTTCGACTTGCTTTTTACCGATCCTTTGCTTAATACGCGCAGCAGCTCTTGAAACTCTTGAAATTCTGGATGATTGGTAATGTCGTTATTGCGTCCATCGGTCGATGTCGCTAATCCAGCTAGATTCTTCTCCGCCGGGTGCCTCATTTCTCAGGAACGGGCGGCTTCTTTCTGCCGCTGTTGATGTTCTTTCTACTGATCTTTGAGCAAAATCCGAATACAAGCATATTCTCTCTCCCTCGCCTTCTTATTCTGTTGCCATTTTAACAAGCTGAAAATGATGTGAGAAGTTAATTTGTGATTCACTAATTAACTCGTTTATTGAAAAAATATTACAACTGTAAGGGTAGCTTTTTATGAAGTACAAATACTTTTTTTCATTTTTCCCCGAACTTCAAAGTTGAAGCAGCGTTACATACATACTCGAAATCGATTGATGCGGCTTACAGCTGCAGACAAATTTTCAGCGTAGTAGGAGCTTGCGCGATTTTTGATTCGTCAAGTCAAAAAGCGCATCGAAAATCGCGCAAGCCCCTACTACGCTAAAAATTTGTCCGCAGCCGTGAACCGAATCAAACGTGCGCTACGTTGGCGCTAGGTGCAACACGAACACAGTCAAATCGATTTGGTCATTTAATTGATAATGAAAAATAAAAAATGTTTACTAACCTTTTGATAAACAAAGCAGCTCGGTGGTCTGATCGTGAATCCGTCCCAGTCTGTCCAGTCCAAGTCCGTCCGTCTGTACCGTGTATGATGTGTGAGTGTGCGTGTGCGATACCGAATAAACGTCGAAAATAAATGAATATAGTACTCGAGGGGGGGTCACTTTTGCATGTATATCAAATGTGTGATGAGTTTGTTGTTGACTTTTTTTTTCCTTTCTTGAATTTTTTTTCTTGAGTTTTCGAAGATGTGTTGATGTTGCGAAGGGATTTGCTAAGCTCGTAGAGTCGTTGCTTCTTGAAATCCTTTCGCGGTCGTGTTGTGTTAATTATTATTTAATTTAGAAGAGAGAGAGAGAAATGTGTGTAATGTGTGTAATGTGTGTTTTAGAATTGTAGGGAGTTTTTATTCATTGGAACGAGCGATGGTAGCAGCAGCAGTGTCGTCGCCAGGATGACAAGCCTCAGTGCAAAACGAGAAGTTGTATCCGCTTCCCATTTTGTCTCTGCAAAAAAAATACATATATACAGGGTTATTTTTTATTGTTGATGTTGTTATTGTTATTTGCATTCACACTTGCATTCCATAATCACTATTTTACGAAAAGAAATCGTTCCGAACACACGTGCGCGCCGCAACACACCACGACACTCCGGCACACTCACACTGCACACATGCGGACTATTTTCACGATTGAACGAAAGTCGTGTGTGTACTCCCACGTCGAGAGACACGCGAGTAGTGAGTGCAGGCAGCGGACCGATCTCCGAGTGCGATGATCATAACCCAAAGAAGTCGCGATATCCCCCACTCTTTTGATAAAAAATCGTAATGAGAAAACAATAAAACAGTTGCAAGTCATTATATTCTGCCCAAAATATCATCAATTCTACATTAAAATCGGAAATTTTTGACCAAAAGCGCGAGAAAATAGCTCAACTCGTTGAATCAAGTTGCGCAGATAAGAAATTGGAAGCTTTCTAAGTAAATGGAGAGAAAAGGTAATTCAATCCATTTGTCAACTTTTCGTCACTTCTAGTGCTTATAATAATCCACCAAACTCATTCTAATTCTCCCATTAGATTAATGACGATGAATGGTAACGATCAGATAGCGAGTCATTTCTCTAGAAGCCAAAAGAGCGTTGACAGATTATTCACGCGCCGAAACGTGCCGCGCCGCATGTCCGAAACCCCGAGATCTTACACGAGATCCCGTTACATTTGTGTATACACTACACAACGCCCAAGAAGTGTCAAAAATGCAACAACCTCCCCGCGCGTAGCAGAAGAGGGCAGCAGCACGAGAGCCCGAGATTTCTGCTACGGTCCCGCGCGCGCGAATCGGAGCAGTAAGCAGCAGCAGCATTCGGTTGTAAACATTAAAATATATACGACGGAGCGTCGCGCGCGCGCGCTCCCACCCAAACAGCAGCACACTGCTATACACCGAGTATATAGTCATCGTCGTCGCATAGAGCAGTAGCAGCCAGCAGCAGTGCACAAAAAATCAAGAGAGTAAAGTTGAGAGAAATCGATCGATATTTTGCTTGGTTAGTAGTTTAAGGCCAAGCAGGCGAGTTTCGCGTGTATACACACAGCTGCAATAGAGCACACGAGCTACCGTACCCACTGTACTGTGCATCGACGACGGTGCGCAGCGGAGAAGAGCGCATGACAGGTGCTAATACACACAGTCGCATACACATGTGTGTGTGCATATACACGCACGCTGCATGCACAGAGAGAGACAGCTATATAACAATAACGTATAGTAATGACTGCGGAGTGGCCCTTATATATATCCGCAGGGCACTGCTGCTGCTGCTGCAGCTGGGAAATGCATTCGCACGAGATCGTAATTTCACTTTAATGTAATCGAGCCCGAGAGACAGTGGAGAGGAAGATTATATAGGTGTGCTCTGTTGTTGGTGCATCGCTCGGTGCGCACGCGTTCGTGTTGTATAGCAGCGTTACATGCACGTGTCCGTACTGTTTTCTTTTCTTTCTTTCTTTTTTTTTGTAACTCGCGTGTCATCGCGAGCTGCCCGCGCACACGGTCGAAGCACGGCCAACCAAGCGACATGTGGGTCAAGCGTTAAAAACTCCGTCCACGTGAAAAACGAGAAGCTCTCGACAACGGCGGCGCGGCTCCGTGACCCAGTGCCACGGACACGCGCGCGCGCGCGGGGGCTAAATAGCCGTTAAAATTCATGAAATCCGGTCGCGTTTCATCTTCGTAATGCAGAGCGAGCGTAATAATAATGATGATAAAATGATCGAAGAGAGACCAGATGCACGCAGTCCCCATGCATACCTCGCGTACGGCGCGAAGAACGCGCCAAGTAGAATTTGTATATAATGCGTGTACGGTGCAGAAGTGCACGGCATCTTAGTGTTGCGTTTACGCGCGCGCGCGAACACATACACACACAGTGACGCGCGAGTGTGTGTGTGTGCGTACGTAGGCTTCGTGCCTGTTTTTGCTCGCCACGGTTTAAGATACTTCTGCACAGCACAATAGACATCGGAAGGAAAAAAAACATTACATCCGATCGTAAACAGTAGTAGCATAAGCAGTAGCAGTAGCAGTAGCCAGTAGAGCGTTATCGGCTCATTTATCCCGAAGCTCTGCTGCTACGCTCTCGTCACACTTGGTGCATAACGCATGGCTGCTGCTGTTGCTTATAAACTCGGAGCATGCAGATGCGCTCGCACATACATGATGCACGAAGTCGTCGTCTCCTACTCAATAGAGAGGCGGTATTACGAGTAGTTAGCGCTCGCGAGAAGGTGCCGAGGTGCGAGATGTATCCGAATGCATGACATTGTGACACACAATGTTGTATATAATACAACCGAGATACATAGCATATTAAAGTAGCAGCAGCGTTGCGAGAAGTTCGAGGCGCGCACGAGAGCGTATATAGCATGCACACACATACACACACACACATCTACGCGTAAAAAGTGAGTAAGAGCGAGAAAGAGAGAGAGAAACTCTACTAGCGTGTGCGCGCGCGCGTCCGCGTATACACACGAACATATATATGAGATACGCGCGTGTGTGCGCGAGTGGGTGTACGTGTGTGAGTAAATAGCCAAGCTCCCAAAGTCCGAGACCGAGTCGTCGTCGTCGGTCAGAGAATCAGAGAATATAAAGCCGAGAAATGCCAGCGAGCGAGAGAGAGAAACGGTTTTTAAAGCGTACGACATTACTGCTACTACTGTATATAATGACAAAAATCGACTGGCGTTCTTCTACGCGCTCGTCGTATCACAGCCGCGGCGAGAGAGCCGAGAGCTTCTCGCACACACCGACACGACGACGCGCTTGCACGTATACAAACACACGTACATGTACACGGACACGATGTGCATATGTATACATTACAAGCACACGCGAGACAGAAACGGCAGCACGTCGCGTAGACGACGTCGTTGTAACTTGGCACGCACGAAAGACACTCGGCCACTCGTATAATACATCGTATAGTACGACATAGTAGTATCGTAAAGCACCACAACACTGCGTATACAGCGAATATAGGATTCGCGCGCGCTCGCGAGACGCTGCCTGCTATATTGTATATATGCATCGCAGCCGTGGAGGGCTCGTGTGCTGCTCCCGAGTCAGACACGACAGCTCTGCGTACATCGTCTCTTACGACGACGACGGCGATAAGCGAGTCGAACACGACGATCATAATACGTTTATTAATAGACAGCAAGTGTTTTAAAAAAGTCCTTACCTGCATGCAGCCCGATCGTAGGAGCTTCGGCCCGGACCAAATTAAACACCCCACCTGATGAAAAACATGGCGAGCCACTGAAGCAGTCGCGCGCGTGCAGCAGCAGTAGTAACTCTCCTCGCCAGCTTCGTCGGCGGAGCGCGGAGCCAGCAGCAGCAGTAGAGCCAAGAGCCAGTGCGCCCAAACACACTACTCTACTCCACTCGCACTGCTGCTGTCTCTCTCTCGCTCACGATAACAGCAGCAGCACACGTCTCTATTCGCGCGCGCCCCTCCAATATTTCGCGCGACAGACTCCGGCCCGACGATATGTACATATAGTAGTAAACTCGGAGGCGCGCGCGCGCGCGCGTATTATTATTTACTCTTTAAAGGTTGGTAGCATCACAAACCGACGAGTCCGCTGCTGCTGCTTGGCTTCGTTGGTGGATGGCGCGACTCCCTGTCAGACTCGTGCCGCGTGTTGGACTCCCTGCTGCACACGACGAATACGAGTATATAGGTACGGCACGTCCGCACCGAGTCAAGTGACATGCCCACGCGGCACAGTTTCGCGCGTATCAGCATGGAAACAGACATAGATAGGATGCGTATAACATCCGAATTTTACGGAGCTCGATTTTCAAAATTTTCCATACAACGACCATTTGCCCACGCCTCGTATCGTAACTCGTATTTGTATATCATCTCAAAAACGTGTCGCGGGCTCCTCCATCTTTTGAGGCGGGCCTGCGCTTGACACTTTCTCGCTGTGCGCAGTCGTTCATCGCGCATCGTATCGTGTGTGTGTGTACATTTTATGCTTCAGAAACAGTCATTGCTTGGGTTCCCGCGACTGCTGCTGCTGCAACGCGCGAACCGAGTCTTACGTGCTTGTCCGCTATACTCGAAAATAGAAAGCGTTCAACGACTCGCGCCGATAACAGCTAATCGCGCGCGGCGCGTAACAGCCTCATACTACTCTACTACTTGCGCATTATTACGTTAAAAAGACCTAATAATGCTCGGCCGCGCGTTCGTTGCCTCTCCCGATCGTCGGTCCCCCGATCGTGAGCGCAACGCACGATGACGTAACGTGAGAGAATTCAGAGCTCGTCGTCGGCCATGACGCGGCTCCTCGATATTTGCCATTCATCTCGCGGTTTTTCTATGATTATAATGGTGAAAAACCAACGATGTTACGATTCGACGAGGAGAGACACAATACAGGGGTTGGATGATCGGCTGCAGCAGCACAGCTGCGAAACGCACGGCGAGCGCGCCAATAGTACTACAGTCGGGCGAGCAGCGGTAGCTGCATCGGTTGGCAAAACTGTGTTCGCGACCGTTTGCAGTCGAAAGCACGCGCGTTCGATTTTTGAATGCTTTTCTCGCATCGTACGACGACTGCTCATTGATCCTTTGTTGTCGATCCCGACATGTCGGAAAATAATACTCAAGAGGACGTTCTCGAAGAGTTGAACGCTTTTATCAACGACACCAAGGGTTTGGTCGATAAAGTTATCAAAATGAGAAGTAGGTATATAATCCGATGCTTCCAAATATAACGAAACGTGACACCACCCCCTCTATAAATCATTGTGACTCGTCGTCCCACAGTGGAATGCCAGAGATCACAAATGGAGCTGCTTCGCTTGTTCAATCCCGTCTGCGTCAAGATACTCGAGATCTCCAACGAGTGCATCAGAGACAATAATGGTCCGGACGTCGGCGAGGCGAAAAAGATCCTGGTCAAGCGCTACTACGACAAGAAATTCGGAAAGGTCAGATTTCAGCCGGTCGACAATCGAGCACAGTGAGATACTAGAACGAAACTTTTTTTTTTGTCCATTGTTTAAACAGATTTTATTTGTAGACGTTAACGTCGCCGAATAATATATTATTATTTGTACATTCAATCGAAACATAAATATACATTTCCTTAGTTGCAAATTTCTTATATATATATAGCTTATATCTTTTTTTTTTCAATAGAACTTTTCTCTTTGTAGAATATTTAAACAGCAATTCTTAATAGCACAGCACCATTAATATCGTTCGTTTGCGCCTCGGAATTCTTTTTTGTAATTTTGTGTTAATTGAAGAATTCTCTGCGGGCTGAGAAAATAAAGTATTTTGACTGGTGATGGCTGTCATCGTCAAGTTTATATAAATATATTATGTATTTTTATGTAACATGACTTCATAAAATTTTACACGATGAAATCTTCAGAGCTTTTCATTTGTATCTATTTTTTTGTATTATAGTTTCAAGATGCAAAACTCAGTCTGCCTTGTATCAAGTTGACTCACTCAGTTAAAATACTTTTGCATCGTTTATATAAGTAACAAATATATTAAAACATTTTCAGCCGATGCACAGGACAATAGATAAAAGATTCTTATCACGCAATATGATTGTTAAAATTTGATCTAACCATGACTACTTGATCTACGGTAGATTCACTTTCATCATTAGGCATATAGTAGTCATAAATTAGATATAAACAAAATATTTAACTCGTTGTGGATTTTGGATACCTGCAGAGCACAGTACTCTTTTTTTTTTTTGTATACAGTAAGATAAAATAGTAAAAAATAGTCTGCTTGGTTCAATGCGCTGTGTATCTCTTCCAAGTAACATTACAATAAAATATTCTCTTGAACCTCCCGTCAGCTAGCATAAAAATTATGAGTAGATCCCAGTATTTGGACGTTTACAGGCAATAGTTTGGTTCTTGACTCGTATCGTCATAAAAAATTAAAGTTTCAAGTAGCATTGTACTGAGTTAACAATAAATAAATTTATCTTAAAAATACAATATTTATCTCTTACTGTCAGAAAAATAAAGTTTTGATTTATCAATGCGATAGTTCAACGTAACATATATATTCATACTCTGTTGAATAAAAATTCTCTCTAAGAATAATTTACCAAGTCTTTGAATAATTTTTCATATAGTATGGATGTATGTCTATCTATTCGCTTGGGCACATGCACCCTAAACATACATGTATATTAACGCAGAGTGATTACAATATAATTAATACATCTCTTATGCAGTGACTACAGCAATGAGATACTTGTACTGCATGATATACATATAATTACGCCTGGATAAACAATTAAAAATTATAAAAAGGGAATAAATGGGCCTCAGCTATATGTTAGCTCTGTGAAACTACATGGAATAAAAAGGCGTGTTGTATCGTTTATCGCTCACGCGCGCGCGGGGCCGATTGCGTAATAAATTTTGCGCGATAATTTAATGAACCGAGGCCGGGGGGACACACGTACAGATCGTCGGGTCGCGGGAGGTAATTAAAAGTGTGCGCGGCGGCGTTGGCCAATTGCAATTTATTGGCTTTATCGCTGAGCGCTTACGTAAGCCGGGTAAACGGGACTGCCGCGATGACGATTGTTAACGTTGTTGTTGTTATTGTTGTTGTAGGATCGGTAGCGAATGTAGTACTGCAGGAGGCAGGAGTCGCCCTCGGCCGAGTGACAGAGATCGGCCGGACCGATGGAGGGCGGATAGCGGGTCAGCTGGAGGGCGGCCTCCATGCAGTCGTCGGGCTCGCCGGCGCACACCTTGCCGGCCTCGAAGGCGAACTTGTCGAGGCAGTCCTCGTGCTCGCACGAGTTGCAGACGTGATACATGACGCAGGGCCCGAACAGGACCTGCTTGAAGTCGCCGATGAGGGCGTCGGTGGCGCGGCAGCGGCGCTCGACTATCTCGATCTGGGGACACTCGTAATCCTCGGCCATGCCGCCGCCGCCGCCGCCGCCTCCTGCGCCGTCGTCGATCATGCCGTAGCTCTCGTCGTCGTCGTCGTCGTCGTTGTCGCCGCCGCGACTGCGTTTCTGCTGCTCCATCGCCAGAAGCCTCATTGGGTAATTTTTGGCCTGCTGCTGTTGTTGTTGCGCAGAGTCGCCGGCGAGATCGTTGAGGGCGTGCCTGAGCTTCTCCAGGGAGTAGGCCGTGGCCATGCGCTCGAGGATCTCGTCCTTGCGCGCCTGCTCGTCGAGGTCGGGCTGCGAGCCGATCTGGGCCGCCTCCTCCAGCATGAGGTTCTTCATGTTGCGCAGCTTGGCGTCGACCTGCTGGAGCTTGTCGCGCTTCAAGCTCGCATCCTTGCTCGAGCTCGCGCCACCGTTGCCACCGGATGGGTTCAAGTGCTCAGCCATGGTCTGTAATATATTTTTCAAAATTTTTCATCGTATATAATACATAAACCAAAAAATTGACATCCGACTTACCTCGTAATACTTTTGCAGCAAATATTGGAAATCCTGGTCTTGGGAATCGGGCCTAGCCAGATAGGTGGCCTTCTTCTTCCTCCTATCGATGCCAAAGTACTGGGACCAGTCGACGCTCTTCTTCCTCACGGTGATCGGTCGATCCTTCGTGTCTGCGAGCACCGCCGGCAGATGGTGTCGCTCGTGCTCGTGCTGCCTGTGGCCCTGCTTGACGTTGTGATCGCGATCGTGATTGTGACTGTGCTGCTGCTGTTGCTGTTGCTGCTGCTCTTGGCTGCGATTCAGCGGCGTCGTCTCGAGGGCCGTCGTCGACGTCGAAGTCGTCGTGGTGGTCGACTGGGTCGAACCGAAGAGCGAGCCGAGATCCTTGGCTACCAGTGGGTCGGTTGCCTTTGCGTCGTCGTTGTCGTCGTTGCCAGCGGCTGCGGAGGCGGAGGCGCTTCGCTTCGACACGGGGAACCTCTTGCTGGCCGCGTCGCGATAATTGTTGTTGAAGTAATCGCTGTTGAAGAGCGGATACCGGGCGTTGACGTTCCTCCTCTCGGCCGAGATGAGCCGAGCGTAACGGGGATTCAGGTCTTGCTCTTGCATCTCTTGCTCGCCGAACAGCACGTCGTTCATCATCGAGCGGTCATCCCTGGTACATAGATTTAACAATTATTATCAAATATTAAATCACTATGTCAAATCTGAACCAGACTTACCCTAGATCCGAGGCGTCGGGTACAGCGTTTCTGTACTTGTCCATAAGCAGATCAAGGGTCCTGCGATACTCTCCGTCTTGGAGTTGAGCCGCCGACGCCGAGTCGTCCCGCCTGGTATCGAACTCCTCCAACAATTTGGCCAATTCGGCGCGACTCGCGTCGCTGAGGTCTCGATTCGTAGAGGTGCTGCTCTTGCTGGCCCTCTTCTGGCTCGCGGTCCGCTCCCGGAAGAGCGACTTGATCGGCTCGCCTGGCTGCAGCTGTTCCTGGACGCTGCTTCCGCTGTGACTGCTACTTTTCAAGTAGTCCATGAGAGCTTTGTTGAGCTGTTTATTATTGAGATGCTGGTAGCCATCGCCGATCGTCTCCAATTGTCCTTCTGCCGACAATGAATTAAAGTATTACATCGAACTCCGAGAATCACCTAGAGATATTTCAACTATTACACTTACCAACTGGAATAAACTCGAGCCCGTCGTCTGTCTCGCTCAGATCGAGGGGTCCGTCCAGGTCCAACTGGTCTCTCGGGCGCTGTCGCACCTGATACTTGATCGGCAGCTCGTAGTACGCGTTGGTCTTGAGCGATCGCTGCTTCCGGGTGAGAGCATTGAGGGCGCCCTGGAGCGACTCCTCGCTCGTCCGGTGGGGCGTGGGTGGGCCGAGACCGGACACGGACAGGGCCGCCGTCGCCACCAGCAGCAACAGCAGCGTATTGCAAGCCAACGTCGACGTCAGCTTCGTCATGATCCTTTTCTATTGTCTCTGGCGTCTGCAGCAGCAGTCAGAATAATTTTCCAACTTCAGTCGGTTCATGTGAGGTATTTTTTTGTCGGTTGCATTATATATCTATCGATTTTCGCGAAAGCTCGAATCGCTGCCGCGCTCTACTTATTGCGTGAGAGACGTGCCTCTCTCTCTCTCGCGCGCCCGATGATGATCGGAATTCGCGTTTCTCTATCTCTCTCTATCGTTCGCGATTGCGCCCGCGACCCCTATTATATATTATATATTAGTTCGATCGGGACTTTGGCACGTATCTAGCGGAAAAAGTATTATAGATTATAGATATCGCAATCATCGCTGTCTCGACGCTTTTGCGCGTCGTCGTCGTCGTCGTCGTCGTCGTCGTTTTGATTGGATTTTACGTGGCGCAATTATCGTCGACTAATTTATCGCCCTGAGGCGCCGCAATTAAGAAAAAAAAAGAAGCTATTATGCAGCTGACAGGAGCGCGTTAATGAGTGCGACGTAAAAAATCAATCCCCCCACCCACCTGCTCCCTCTCTTCGCTCGGCCGGCGAGCAAAAGTCTGCCTAAAAAAGCAGCCAATGTGAGAATATAGGATTGACGTACATCGAGTACACAGCATCGAGCGCGTAATAGAGCTTCGGTACGGAAATGAGCTTGCGATTCACGAGTGCAGTATGTGTGCTATCCACGCGAGATGAATTACTCACCTTATAGAAGCGGCGCAGTATATGTGCCACAATCGTTCTCGGAACTGCTACACGACTCCTGCTTCTTCTTTTTCTTGTATCAAGGGGTAGACGGATCCTTCCTCAGCTTCGTGTGCACGTGACCCGCGCGATCCGAGTCCGAGGAGAGACTGAGGCGAGGAGCCACGCAAGCTCGCTCGCGCACACCCTCGAGAAGCGATGGAAAATTTCGCCTCTGCTCTCTGCGTACTGTGTATATCCATGTATATACACACATGCGAGAGGTAGGTGTGTTGTGCGTGTGAAAAGCTGCGAGCAAGAGGCTCGCGATCGATAGACTACGACGATGGTAGTGAGTGGTGGTAGAGGGAAAGCCTGGCGCATGCTCTCCTCCACCCACCCACCCATCTTCCTGCCAATCTATCGCTATATATAGCGCGTGTAACAGCATAAGCAGCAACAAGTTATACTACTCGGGAGCTTTCAGCGCCGCTAGTGCGTGCGAGCTTTGCCGTTGCGGGGCGGCTGCGCCTCCCTCTCTCTCTCTTTACTCAATCATCCTTTTTTTTGGGAAGAGCGCACGCACACAGAAATCATCTCACTCGCGTGAGTGATATATCTCGATGTATCTTCGTATATCTAGGCATGGCCCACGCATCGATCGATTTTTTATAACTCTTGATATACTCGGAAGAATTATACTGACTTATTGGGATTTACCGATGACACGAAGCAGAGACTCGATTAGAGCTCTCCATCTGACAAGCGCCTGTAATGAATTTAATCAAAAGTCCGAAGACTCGGCTAAGGGTCGCCTATATATCGTACGCATATATATTGGATCCAAGTGAGCGAGAAACTTTCTTAAAGGAATCCTCGATCGAGTGCAGAGGGAAGAACGCAGCAAATGCCGTAACTCTATATAGCCGCGTACAATAGCTCAACTTATATATTTATCGATGCTGAGCGAAGCGAAGATTTTTTCTTTTTTTTGTGCGAACGGTTTTTCATGAACGGCTTGACCGAGGGGTTGTGTGCTGTAGTGAAGGTACACGAAGGTCTGACTAAGTTTGTGATCTCGATTTTTTAACAACTACAAAATTGAATATGTTGTATAAATTTTAACACTTACAACCAAAAATTGTACATTGAGCTTGTTGTGCTCCTATATAATTCCCGACCTTTATTACATCATTTGAGGGTTTCTAGAAAGTCAGGATTAAGCCATCTAGCGACTCGTGGAGGTATTTCGCGTACGTATTGATCTAGTTGAACTGACTTCTCAGACTAATTTTAACGGTGTATATTTACGTATCGATACTATGAGAATTTTTTCATTAATAATTTTTTTTAACTCTCGTTATTAACGATCGTGATAATCAAATTTTGTTGTCAAATTTAGTTCTCCCTATACCCGAGCTCCTGTCATAACCGTCTCGTTATTCTGTTTAAAATAAATAGTTGAATTTCCTCATCACTTCTTAGGTCGATTCTAGATTGACTTTCACCTGAAATATATCAAGCGCGCTTTAATAAAAAATCCCGTTTTTAATTTTGACGGTTCTTATCTTGAAAAAATAACGATTCGAACGAAAAATTGCGAAAAAAATCCGTAGAATTGGTTACGGAATAAGCCTGAATTTTTTTCCGATGCAACAATCAGATTTTTCCAGTCCCTCGAATCTCGCTGCAACCGAGTTTTTTACTTTATCATTCGGCTCGGCATTCTGCAACCCGACTTGCCACTATAGTTTTACACATACGAATCGTCCTCGATATGCAAAGCTGCGGCCGATATATACAACGATCGTATCTCTCTCGGTCTCTCTTTCCGTCATCGCGGCCGCACTTAAAATGACACACAATTGTGCTATACGATGTATCATCGGGTCTATAAGGCCTGAAATCGCCGATAAGGTGTCCGAGAGCAGCTTATCGCGTTCATGTACAGTTTTACGCGATAAGTGAAAAAAAAGAGATTCTCACCTGCGCGCGAGTCAAGTCCGTGCCCGTCGTCTGCGTATAGCGCGTTTAATTGTATTTTGAAGCGACGATTCGCGTGGACACACATTCCATCGTTATATTATGGAGGAAGGTATGTCAGTTGTATTATTGATCGACCGCACGCGTTCGATTTTCCATCGGCATGTGTGCAAGCTCGATATTAAGCCGTGGCCAGTGATTAACAATCGTACATAACAATATTAATAATAAACTCAAAGTACACGTTTTGCTTCTTTTTTTTCTGTATTATCTCGGTGAAGACGACGATGGCTTGTCCTTGCCGCCGATACACGTCGATCCTCCAATTATCAGCGTTCAGCCGACGTCCAATCGAGGTACCGTAATAGCTCTATATTTACTATACCCAACACACTCTCTAGCTCTCTTTTTCTCTCCAGTTAATTAAATGAAGTTAATTGAATCACGTGTGTGTGTGTGTGTGTTTATGCGTGCAGCTTCGAGGCATCAGGCTTCAACGACGACGTCGAGCCACGATTGGATCTCGACGCTTTCGACGCGCTTCGGCTTCGGGTCGCAGCGCCACTTCCTGTCTCAAGCCGATCAAGTGGAAATTCAGCAAGTCGTCGAATTAAGCTCTCGTAAATGTCTGCAGGCCTAATTTTTTTTCAATTTCTAAGGGGGATGCGTCCATCCGGGCGAAGGCAAGAAAAGATAAGGTTCTTTTCTACCCTGGGTTGGATGCATTCCCTTGATTCAATTATAAAGATCAAATAGAGTAAAAAGCATGAAAGTTCGTTACATCTTTTTTTGCAAGCTCTTTGCAACAAAGGATTGTAACTTGCAGTCTTATGTGATGATTTTCTGCAATGCCAGACTTTTTTTTAATGAAATATTTTTCTTTACGATGAGAAACTTAGAACTTCGAAGAAATGTAAAAAAAGTTAATTATATTCTCGAAAGCAGATAATAATTTAAAGAAACGAATTTAAAAAAATTGATTCAACAATTACGATATTTCTTGATACGTTTTTTGATATGTGCTTTGTTATTTTGCAGTTCTCGGCAAGAGGCAAAATGGCGCCCAGTACAGGGTGAAAGTCGACAACGGCGACACGACGTTTCTCGCGGTCGAGGATCGCTCTCAGCAAACAGCGGCAGCGGCAGCAGCAGCAGCGGAGAACAACCGTCGATGGCCATTTACGTCGTCGTGGGGCTCCTGCCGCGAGCTCAGGCTCAACCTAATGGACCTTTCGGGTGAGACGGCTTTAGTAGTGAGAAAAACCCTCGGCTGCGCTTGTCTTCCTGGATTTCTGCACGTACGCCACTTCTCATGACACACACATACCCAAACACACACGCACGCATACATATATGTACATGATTCGCCCTTAATAATGGGTATACGTAATAATTCGTATAGAGCGTGGATTTGTCGTGGGTGACTGCGCGACCTCCGTATGATATATCGTTGTACGTTTTTGCACGGACTCGCATACGTATGAAAACGTGTCGCGCATACGAATGACGCGGGTAACTTTCGCGCGCGCGAGCGACAATTATAACAGCGAAATACATAGATAGAGCTCATAAATGATAGAGCAATAAAAATGTATATCAAAAGTTACGTATATAAACGGCAGCGCGAATCGCCGCAAAATTGGAGCTTTACTTTTATTTATACGTATAGGTAGATTTTATAGGTGCGCGTTGGTATACATATAGCTCGGCTATGTACGAAGCTCGCGAGTTATTTCAATTTCTCGCCTCTGATCTTCCTGCGCGAAGGGAATGAAAAATACCCCCGCTGGTAGGAAGCGGCATAACTTGTATACTTTATTTCTTTCCATAAACCTTATTTTTTATTCATTCTCCCTCTCTCTCTCTTCTCTCGCAGAAAGTTCAGGTCGAGTCGAGCGACCGACGACGCTTGGGCAGCGTCGAGCAAAACTTCACGCTGCTGGGCGTTAGCTTCACGGTTTACGACGAGACGAGGCAGGCCCTGTGCCACATCGACGGGCCCAGCATCTACTCGTGCTGCATGTCCACCGAGACTCAGTTCCAAGTGGGTATAATAATGAACGATAAATAACTATTGACAAAAGAGTCGAGGATTTGACGATGATTTTTTCCAATCGCAGATTGTCTCGGTCGACAGATCGCGACAGATAGCCTCCCTGATTCGACACTGGAACGACGTACTGGTCGACTACTCGATCTTGCTGACCTACACACCAGAAACTGAGGCCAAACTGAAGAGTCTGCTACTGGGCGCGGCCTTTCTTCTGGTAATTATGAATTCCAATTGCAAAAGTTCAACTTTTGACGCACAAACGCTCGAATATTTTATTTCTTACTTCTCTCTTCCGTGATTGTAGGAATTTTTGTATTTCGAGCGCCGATGACCCAGCGATTTTTTTCCTGGTACACCTCGACCTTGCGGACTCGTACGAATGCGGGGGGCCATTTAAATGTTTAAAAGGACACTGCAATCAATGCTTAGCCATATAATATGTAAATTACTCAGTTTAGTCGTAAAGGGGTCGCAAGCTTTTTTTTTAGTAAATTTTTTGCAAATGAATTTTGCAAGTTGGCTACTACACGTGGCAGTTAGGTGCATAACAGCATTATTAATAATTACGTTGGCGAAGTTTTGCTACATAAGCGGCCCCGTGTAGCGATGGCATCGACGTTCTCATTAGCTGCGCCTCGTGTATGTAGCATCGTAAACGCGATGATACGAGAGAATAAAAAAAAAAAGAACGAAGAAAAATATGACACGAGCACAGTAAATCAAGTCTATTTAATATTCCATTCCTGCCTGACGTGTGACCGACTCGAGGCTTCATATATATGTATACTTTATATACGATGATGCGGTAATCTCTGGCTGATAACTGGCGTGCATGTGTTAGCGAATTAAGAGAGGCAGAGTCACCACCACCACCACCACTGCCAATCTCGCCATAAGATTGTGTCCCGGGCACGCGTACTCGCACACACTGATATAGGTATACATGTTGGGCTTACTGCCTATGCTCTACAGGTATAGCCCAAGTGTGTGTGAGTGCCCACAAGCAATAAAAGTGTAGCAGCAGCAGCAGCTACTGCTGCTGCTGCTCGGAGGCCTCCGCCGCGCCGTCGCCCCCCTTCCTCGCTCAGCAGAGGTCGCGGTCATGACGACGAGCTGCCTCGTCCAAGGCGCAACAAGCTGCCGTGGCTCCGCCGAGCGCCGAGCTCGACTCTCTCGCTCGCGCGTTCGCGTTATAATAACTGTTTACCGTGTGCCGCTGCTGCAACTCGTATGTATGTGCTGCGAGTAGCTGCTGCTCCGCTTTGATATACAATCGCCGATTGACCATCAGTGCGCTCGACTTTTGACACGTATATATTTTTTTAAATGACGCGAAATTTAATCCCTTTCCGATAAATCGTCGATGTTTACTCTTTGGCTTAAGTGCTATTGACGTACGTATACGTATATCAGTCATTGCACCCCCCGCGTGTCGTGGTTGTGCGTCGTTGGCGCTGTGGCTGGCTGTACACTGCTGCTCCGAGCGCAGGACAGGACTCCTTTTTCATATTAAAAGCAGTGCGCGCCACAGTGTTTATATTTACTCGGCGAGACGCTGCACGCCTCGTTTAATATCATACGGTAGTCCATTGTACAGCATTTAACCAGTAGCTGCTCTACACACGTGCGCGATGATTATACTGCCGCTCATAGGATTATGTCTCCTGCTGTACTATCTGTTTTACTTGATTTTTCCGCGCTTCACCGATTGCGATTTGAAGCTCTTTTTTTACGACAAATTTGGAAAGTCACCAGGTGAGTGTTCTTTGTGCGCCATGAGAATTTTATTCGCTCTCATTAATTAACGTCTCGTCGAATCATAATAACATCTGCTCGATCTATACGTCACGTATATGTAGATACTCTGTGCGGTCAAGTCGTTTGGATCACGGGCGCTTCCAGTGGCATCGGCGAACATTTGGCCTATGTTTTAGCCAAAGCTGGATGCAAGCTCATACTCTCGGCCAGGAGGGAGGCCGAATTGCAAAAGGTCAAGAGTAATTGCTTAACAGGTGTGTGTTTTCGGTGCTCTTTTTTCTTATCCAGTTTGCCAATTAACTTTCATCAATTTTAATCTTGTTTTCCAAAGCCAATCCCAAGCTACAAGACCATGATGTTCAAGTTTTGATTTTTGATGTCAGAGTGATGGAATCTCATGAAAGAATATTTAATGATGTACTTACAACTTTTGGAAGAGTAAGTTAAAAGTATAATTTAAAATCTCTCTTTTCTATCCTTGAGTAAAATCAACTGAACAAAATTAAAATTATTTTGTAAATTTTTAGTTGGACATTCTAGTCAACAATGCTGGCAGAAGTCAACGAGCAGTGTGGGAAGATATAGATATTGCTGTTGATAGAGAAGTGTTTGACCTGAATACTTTTTCTGTTGTTTCACTGAGTAGATTAGCTGTTAAATACTTTCATCGTCAAGGTAGAGGTCATATTGCTGTGACATCCAGTTTGGCAGGGATATTAGGAGCCCCATTTTCAGGGTCTTACACTGGATCAAAACACGCTATTCATGTAAGCACATAGTTTCCTCAAATTATCTGAATAATTTTTTAAACTGATTTATTTATAAAAATTACAGGGATACTTTGAATCTTTGAGAATGGAAAAAATCAATCAAAATATTGCAATCACTCTTGTTTGTCCAGGACCTATACAAACTGATTTCTTAGCTGAGAGTTTCACAGAAAATGCTGGAGAAGTAAGTTGATTTAAAAAAAATTATCCATTTTATTTTTTCTATTGCTAAAAACATTTGTTCCAAAAATTAGAAATATGGTCAACAAACTGAAGTAGCATCAAATAAAGTATCAGCAGCTCGCTGTGCAAAATTATTTGGATCAGCAATAGCCAATCAACTAGAAGAAGTATGGATAGGCCATTCTAACAGTATCCAATTAACTTATGCAGTGAAATATTATCCAAATTTAACAAATTTGTAAGTTATTTGTAAGTTATGCATTATTCTTTGGAAACAAAAATTTTAAATGCATTGTTTTTTTTCTCTAGGTTTATGCCCTACATAGGAAATGCTTTCATTCAACGAATAAGAGATGCCAAAGTAACTGTGAATGTCCAACCTTAAATTTAAAATTAAATCACAAACTTTGTATTTACACTATTTGTTACGTATCTGTGAGTTTGTTAGCCATAAATGAGTTGTGATAATGTATACAAGGTGAAAAAAAAAGATATTGTATATACATACTATCTACAAATATATTTATAATTTTGTTCTGTTTTGTACAATAAAATATTATGTTTGCAAATTATCTCTAGCTCTTGCTTCTTTGCCTAACAAAATGGCTTGTTTAAATAATTTACAATAAAGTTCAACAGAGCAAGGTGAATCATCGTTCCCAGGCACTGGATAAGTAATAAGATTTGGATCACAATTGCTATCTACGATTCCTACCGAAGGAATATTCATTTTGGCTGCATCACGGACGCCTTGATGTTCTTGCATCACATCATTCAGGGTGTTGAAAAATATACAGAGATCTGGCAATCTAGTGGTTGCACTAAATTCTTTGGTGGAATTGGTAAATATACCCTTTTTCCAATTTCTCGTGTGAGCAAATTCTTTACATTCTTTAGCAGTCTTTTCAACTAAATGTGCATATTGTGGTTTTCTCGCAATCATTAAAATGATTCCATCATTATAAGCTATATGCGCAGTGAAATTTAATGCCTGCCTTAATAATTCAACCGTCTGATCAAGATCGAATATCAAATGGCCAAGTCTAGATCCATACAAAAAAGGTATCATTTTATTATTCAAGGTACCTTCTTTGTGACCAAAATGTACTCTTGCATCGAACAGATCCTGAAGTGTAAACAATTTCCGAACGTTGAAGTAATCTGGATGCTTCAGAGGATTGATCCTCACTCGTTCACATTCTGCATCAACTAAAAGACAAATATCATCGATGATCAACGATGCATTCGAAAAATATTAACATTTCGCATAAAAAAAGTGTACACACCAGGCTCTTTGATAGCGGGTTGTTGTGCTTGCGCCGATAACCTACAGATTTGCATTGAATTTCTCGCCAGACATCTCATAAGTCTCGTGCTCTCCGACACTAGATAAAAGTAAGAGTTACGATTTGTTTTGTGTAAAAAAAATTCACTGACAACGTATTCAATGGTGATTTAATTACCTTTGTTTCTAAATATCGACGACACTGTTGTGGCCATGATGTTGCTGCATGTATGGACTTTGACTATGCACTCGACAAACCATCAATATTTTTCAGAAGTATTCTGCTCGTCTCCCGGCGAACGGGTCTGATGACGGGCGCCCTCTCGCGACCCGTAGGAGAGATTATCATCTTATGGTTACAACGTTTTCACGCGCAAAACGTTCGGAGAAGTTCGAATAGCAAAAGTAAGTTGGCCCTAATTAATACTTGGAGAGAATTGTGATTCTAAATTATTACAATCTTCGCTTTGTGGATCTGTTTTTATTCAAGTGTTCGAGATAAGATTTTACTGAAATGCTTTTTTTATGGAGACTTAATAGATAACCGTTAACTTTTTGTTTTTTGCGAAACAAAGTTCTATAGCGGCTTGGTGAGTTTTTCAAAACGTTTTTTTTTTCAAGGTATGCATCCAACATCTAATAAATGTTATATTCGTTCAAGACTCCAAAAATATGATCAGAGACAGGTGGAAAAAAGGCTTGGAATAAACCAAAATAGAAATCGACTCATTGAGTGTAACAATGAGTAGCCGAACCCGTTGTCCAATACTAACCGTTTTTTGTTTCTAAACAGTCATCTTCGAACGGAACAACTAGGATAGTGCGAAGACTCAATTGTTTTGATAAAAAAATCGAATAACCTCAAGGTATATTTTATAATCATTATTAGCAAAAGAACAGTTTTTATTTTTTGATTAGTAAGTGTACTAAGTAGTCGCAAGTTTTGAAAACTATGATATGATGCTCGAGGCTCCGAACCTGACTCACCTCCACCGCTATAGATCAAACGATAAGAACGATTGTTTAGTAAATCCTTGTAAATATTTTGGGTGAACAATTCAACTCGTTTTGAAACGGTAAAACCATCCGATGATAAAAAAAAATATACCCATTGAGTTTTATTTGTACTCGAATAACATTTTTTATATATTGAAATATTTATTAACATAATACATGATTGTAAATTTGATCAATTTTGCCCAGAAACAGGACTTCTCGAGGATAACGTCCCTCTGAATCGACTAATCAAAAGAAAATGGCCCTTTGTCGCAAATCTAGAAGGGACTGCAGCGACGAGTATCGGCGGCTCCATTGCAGTTGGCTTTTGCAAAAACGGAGCAGTTGGTCGATCGCCCGAACAAGATAACTCTACTCTGAGAGGGAAATTGACGAGGAATAATTTAGAAGCAAGCAGGTGAGTCTCATGTCTTAATCGCTGAAATTCGCCGATAATCTTGATTTATTTCAGAGTCCGCTCGAGCGCGAGTTTTTGCGGAATTCTGCAGCAGCGATTTCGGAGTCGCGCGCGCGCGCCGCGACGTAGCGCACTCTCGCCGACGACAAGCCAAAGCTCCGAAATCGTCGTTTGAGAACCCCTGGCGCAAGTCGGATGTACATACACCAACATATATTCTGCAGCAGCAGCAGCAGCAGGGCCAGGCATGTGTCTACAAGCTGCTACTCTCGACGTTTGCATCGTCGTCGTCGACGTCGTCGTCGTCGTCCAGACACTGGCGCACCGCCACTCTCTTGCCTGCTGCTAAGGGGCGTCGCGTTTTAGCCCAATACCTCTCTCACTCGCTCTCTCTCTTTCTCTCTCGCTCGCTCGGCTGCGTGCGCGCGTGTGTGTCTATAACATATAGGCGTTGGCGGCGGCGGTGAACAGCAGCAGCAACAGCAACAGCAGCAGTATTATACGCACGTACCCCGGCAGCGGAGCGCGGCTGTGGCGAGATTTGCACGCGAAAATTTCGCGACGAGACAGAGCGAGAGCAAAAGATTCCCGACGCAGCGTAGCAGTAGGAGGAGGAGGAGGAAAGAGAAGATCCTCTGCGGCTCGTCGTCAACAATCGTTGGATGCTCGCCCGTGCGTTTCAACGATAACGAGAACTGCGGCAGCGACGACGATTCAGCGGCGGCACCGCTGCTCCGCGAATCTATATACACACATCGTCGAGGGAAAAGTACATTCCGGCCGCTGCACTCTCTGTCTCTCTCGTACTCGCACTCGCTCTCTCTTGCAAAGCTGAGTGTTCTGTGCCGTGCTGCTGGCTGGCTGGCTGGTGTGCTCGCAGCGCCCTTTTGCATCGCGTACACACATACACACCTTAGAGCGAGAGATCTGCTGCTACTGCTGATAGTGCATAGTCTGCGCGACTCTGTGTATCTCGTCGCGTGCATCTGGCCACTTTCGGCCCGCTGCATCCAGGTTCGCCCCCGAAACTCGGAAGAGAGCAAGAGAGTATAAGAGAGAGAGACGGCCAAAGTTCACTGGACTCGCGGACATGTGATTCTGTGCGACGTTTCACTCCCACCGGGGCTGGCTACTGCTCTTTGCAGGCCGCGCGACGACTCCAGTAGTGTTGGCGTGTGCATAAATGCTCTGTGTATACTCGTCGCCGTCGTGGGTTGACGCACACACGCGCGAGCGTAGCGCACACATATTGTGATATACGCACACCTTGCGCGAATCCGCACGGTGTCGTATTAAAGCAGTTAACGACTCGTCGTCTTGGCGAATATATCTCTGCCGCGAGTGTTTCGTAGTGTGTGATCGCCATGCGAGGCGCGAGTGAGAGGTAAAAAAGCAAGAATCGAGCAGCAGCAGCAGCAACGAGCCGAGAGGCCACGTAACGCGCGCGTGTGTGTCGCTATTTCGCCTCGCAGGTATATAATATCGCGGCGGAGCGAGAGGAGAGAAGGAATGAGCTGCTAACGTCGTATAGTATCCAGCTCTTACTACGTATACGGCAGAGAGCTGCTGCTACTACTCTGTACACACGTACACACACACACTTACACACGTACGCGTATTCTGCCGAGCGGCTACTACTACGCGACTTACTACTACTGTACGCACGGCGACTCCAGTCTGCCTGCCAGCCAGCAAGCCAGTTGTGCGGACTGCGAAATCGGAGTCGCGTGCCGACTGTGCTGCACCTCGTTCACATTATATAGATAATAGTACTCGTGCTTCATCCGCCAGTGTGACTTGTGCCTCGTCCAATACGTATAGTGCATCGAGATTGTATACATATAATATACGTGCGAGAGGAAGAAAAGAGTGTTGATGCGGCCCCGCGGACGGCGCTTCCGCGACGCGCGATAGTAGTCGTAGTAGTCAGCTCGCTGCAGCGGCGGCTGCTCCGCCGTGCTAATACACGCACCGATGATATGTCATCGGGAGAAAGTCCATGAGGAGACATGGGCTGCCGTGGATTTTGCCATTGCGAAAAGTGTGCTATAGTCTTCTCGTCGTCGTTGGAAAAAGTAGCCCGAATCAGCAGCAGCAGCAGCAGTAGAGGTAGCCGGACAGGAGCTGAGGCTGCTCCTCGCGACAACATTGCAACGTGAGACACGACAACGATTACTCTCTGCCAGTGCACAGTGCCTATTATCAATAGTTAAAGCAGCAGCAGCTGAAAAGCTCCCCCAAAGATGACAGCCTCGTCGTGGAAGACGTGAGAGGTGTCCTCCTCCGCCTTCCTCCCTAGTCTTGACATTCTTCGGGACAGTTACCTTCTTCTTCTTCTTCTTCTCAGTTGGTGAGTAGTCGAGAGACGACCCTCTCTATATACATTATCATCGCATCTCGTCGTGGAGAGTAGCCTCGAGTCGCGTCGCTGTTTATCCGAATCACGCGTCGTCGTCGTCGTCGTTCTATATAGCACAGCAAAGCAGCACATGTATATATGCGGAAAGGGAGTGAGAGAGCGAGAGAGAGACACCGCCCTTGGCCGTATATATCTTCTGCGGAGCGCCGGTTACTCGCGACGAGACTATATACTTATACGATAGACGTAGACGACGACGACGACCTATCCTCGCTGCTGCCTATATACATTACATTATTACACGAATACGAGTCATAGTAGTCGACTGTGCCGCGTATATATACGCGACGACGAACACGAGGCAGATTTCGCAGACGCACGAGCGAGAGAGCAGGAGAGAATCGCTTCTTTCTCTCTCTCTCTCTCGTTCGGGCAAACGTTTGCGCCTCGCGCGCTGTTTCGGTACATATTATAAGGTATATAAGACGCGGCGCGCGGACACATGGAATGTCGCACGCTCTCGCGTATATATCGCCGTCGAAGGCACACATAATATAATCGAGCCGCCGCCGTCGCCTCCACCGCCGCCGCGCGGCATCGGGTACTACAATTTCGAGAGAGCGAGAGAGAGAGAGAGAGAAAGAGAGATTTGGAGAATGTAAACAATATATATAGCTGTCCGTCCGCGTCTGGTCTCTCTCTCTCTCTCTCTTTCTCTCGATGACACCAAGTCGAAAAAATTTCCGATATAAGGCCGCCGTCGTCGTGCTTTTTAACACGACTGCAGCAGCGGTATATTACACTGAGCCAGGATAGATACGATAGAGAGAGAGACTACTAGTTTCACATCCTGCAATAACGATTTTAAATGCGAACGCGAAGTGCACGTGTACAACTAGTCAGTTTCGGAGCAGCGGTAGCAGTAGCAGCAACCATATACGTTGTACTTTCGCGGATATAAAGAATATATATACGCGCGAGGGGCGTGGATGGTTATCGCGCGCACGAGGTGCACCACTATATACCTTTACTTACCTACCTGCACGGCCCAATACGTCGCGGTGTACATGTATACCTGCGCGCTACAAATTCACCGTGTGCTCCGTACCTCAATATAGCCTCCCAACTCATATATATACTATACTGTATATACACGGCAAACGCTCGACTGGTATTATATACGTGCGTGATAGAGACAGATAGACGACGACGACGACGAGAGAAAGAGTAGGCTATATCGAGGAGAGGATTGCCAACCCTCGCGGCTTTACCTTTCGATCGTGTACGCATATAAAGTTTCATTGATAGCTCCATACGCCCGCGCGGCCGTATATGATACAGACATAACATGTGGCATAAACGTACGTATATATACGGTGCTTTATGCATCGTGAAACGGACGTAATATGGTATATTGTAGCGTACACACACACGAAAAAAGTGCATTTATGTAAACGTGCACACGCACACACTCGTACACCTTTTGCGTCTCGTACCATGTCCTCGCACAGTCCTCATGTAGGATTGCGTTGCATATATATATTGTTGTGGCTGCGCTAGTGCACGCACACCGAGTAGTAGGCACGACGTGCGTCGAGTGCGATTCTGTATGTGTGTTTATATGTGTGTGTACATGTGTGCTTGTGTACAACGTATATAAGGTGCTGGAATATGTATAGATGGCGCTGGGCAATGCCTCGCGTTGCTGCTGCTGCTAGCTGCTCGTACGCCTCGCTCGCTCTTTTTCGCGATTTCTTCGCGTTCTTCTTCTCCGTCTCTTTATCTTCTCTCCGTCTTGTTCTCGTCTTGTGCAGGCCTCCTCCCCGTCCTCTCTCTCTCTCTCTTGTAGCGCAGCGGAGCGGCCACACCGCCACTACTGCCGCCGCCGTCTTCGTCACCGCTGCTGCTGCTGCTGCTTAGCTGCTTCTGCTTCATCTTTCGTAGTTGAGGCGCAGAGCATATACCTAACATCCCCGCGTTTCCTTCCTTCCTTCCTTTCTTTCTCGTTGCAGCGTGCGTCTCTCTCTCTCTCTTTTTTTTGCACTTCTTCGTTTCCATATCCAATGCCCGCTCCACCTTCTCTTATAAGAAAAACAAAAAAAGAAGAAGAGACGAGCCAGCGAGAGAGAGCAAAAGACACGCGTTATATTACGTGCTTGTATGAAAAGCTTATGCTGCACAGAAAATAATACTCCCCTACGCGCGTATATCGTATATAGTACGTGCAGACAGTCGGTGGTGTGTGCTCGGCGCACTGCGCGTTTAATACATATGGTAGATTCTCCGTGAAATCGAATGGCCTGCGACAATTTTTCCGACAAAAAGGCGGAAAGTAGCATTTTTACGGTCTTTTTAGAGATTCTCAGATTTTTCCTGGACGTTCGATTTAAAGGCCCATTACAAAAGTGTAATGTGGTAAGAAAGTTCTATGGATGCTTTGGTTGATGAAAGTCTGGATCGAGCAGAATGACATTTTGACTTTCATGTTTCTCTCTTTAATATAAAAAGCTCCAAAAGCGCTCAGACTCTTTTTTCTGGCACTTTGTATAATATCGAGTAAAAAAGCTCTGTAGCAATTTTTACCTACAATTACTCATGACTGAACTGGAAAATTTTGAATATCCTTCGAAAGATGAGTGATAGACGATCTACAAAACTGTCTAATAAAATTTAGGGACACATGCGACAATATAAAAACAACAAGTGTCTCCTGCGACAGTCAAGCGAACATTTCTTCGGTCATTCCAGTTTTCACATGAAATCGGCCATATACATAACGTCAGGCCGAGCAGTCTATATGTGCTATATTGCTCGTATTTGTAAGTCTAAAGCCGCGGAGGAGGTTTTTCACCGTAGATTCCCCTCTTACATATTCGCGCGCGTGATGTATATACTTAGGCGGCACACACTAGCCATCGCTGCTGCTGCTACTACTACTATTTGTGCCCCCGTACTTACTATATAGCTGCTACTTATTCCATGCCGAGAGATAGAGAGAGAGAGAGAGAGAGAGAAACTTTCGAGACATCGCGCGTACGTACGATGTAATATATTATAACTGCAGCGGCGTCGGTGGCGGCAATTTCTGCTGCTGCTGCTGCATTTGATAATACATATATACGACGCTGCACCTATATAGACGCGGGCGCGCTCCGCTTATTGATATTTATATGTATTATCGCGCCCCCGAGTGTAGCATGCCAACTGCGGCCGCGCGAAAAGAGCGAATTTTCTCCCTCTCTCTCTTTCCCGCACGCGCGAGCGAGAGAGAGCCGTGATTACCACTCCGTGCATGAATGTCGTGGTGATGCAACGCGCGGCACCTGTTTATAACAACAACAACAACGCACAGGTATCCATACAGTGAATTATTATATTCTCGCACGCCCGCGCGAATTAATTACAATAATAGAGAAATGAGCCTATACGTAGCTGTGAGCAAACGAGCCCGACGCAACCGCGCGCGCGCGCGAGTTTTTCATTCGGAAAGTTGTTTGTAAAGTAACAACAACGGTAGCAACGAGAACAGCAGCAGTAGCAGTGTAGTTCCGACTTTTTTCTCACGCGCTCATCCGACCAAATCTCCATACATATAATACGTATGTGTATCCTATCAACGCGTGTGTGGAGCACTATACGTGTGCACCTCTCAGCTACATTGCGTTTCTCTCTCAGCTGGCTTGTCGTCACTTTTTTTAACGACGCCCGGATCGATAATATTAACTCGTTCGTCGGATTGATTCTTCTTTCTCGTATTTTGTTTTTTGCTCCGAAATAGATAGATAGAGAGAGAGAGAGAGAGAGCGAGTCAACGCTACGTTACTTCTCCTACAAAACATATAACCCGGCGCTGCTTTTCCTTTTTTCGATACAATCAAACTTTCTCACCGGCGAACAATTAGACTCGTTGTTTCGCCCGATGTTATTGTGTATATCTTTTAAATCGTGCGATGTTCTCTTGCTACTTCTCGGCTTCTTCTTTTTTTTTATATGTATACACTATGAAGAGCCCAGAATTTAATCGCGCTGGCGTTTCTGTGGATGCATCTAGCTCCGCTGCACGCCTATATACATACATTATAAACACGTAAAAAGAGTACGCTCGGGTAAAAAGAGAAAACGCGCCTCGTACACCTCTATCTAGGCACTACTACCGACGCGGTGCACATTTCCTGTGTGTCGTGCGCGCCGCGCAGCGAACCACGTTTACTTGCGCTGCATCTCGCGAAACCAAAGATCTGCGTCGAGTTATACATCTTTTTCTTTCTTTCTCTTTCTCTCTTTTAACGCGCCTGCCGCGCCCAACGAGTGATAAAATGAACTTTGGTTCTGTTCACCGTCGAGAAGTCAGCTCGTGTACACGTTGCTGCGCCAAAAATTCATTCGAAAGCGCCGCACGACAATTACGCAGAGCAGCAGCAGCAGCAGCTCTTTGCGCGAGGAGGTTTTTGCTCTATTTTATCGATCAAACAGTATAAGTAGCACCACTGCACACGCACGCGGCTCGTGTCGGCGAGGCCTGTGCAGCCGCTATAGGCTACGCTTCGACGAGATGACGATGATGATAATTTTTTTTTTTCTTTCAATAATCCATACATCAAAATGGTATTTGTCTCGGGGCGCGCGTCATCGGCGTCATCCACTATACATTTATATGATTCGTAACAATTGACGGCTAATTCGTCTTGCGTGATGAATTCCGCGCGTTCCTCGCGCCAATTTCACGATCGGCGGGATTATATTTCAATGGAATGCATGAACTTTTTTCAAGCGCTCGCAACGACGCTTGTTATATTGCACGACGATAATGCCACTTTTGCCACGGGCGCATAATTATTGAGTTTGTGTGTGTATGTGTGTACGTGCATGCGTGAGTCGCCTCGCGTCGTCGTCGTCGTCGTCGTCATCGTTTTGTGTCGCGTATAACACGCAAAATTAGTAAATTCTTAGCGCTACGATGAATCGATAATTCCGCAGCTATACTATAGCCC